TAATATCTTGTACCATCTGGATGCCAGAGAGACGTATTCTTACTTCAGGGTAGAACACCGCCAGTCACAAGAGGTGACCTCAGTGAAGACCTCTCTCCGCGGAAAGTAATCAACACAAACTCTGACTTATCTTGTCATCGGAACTGGAAAGAACAAAGTTGCTGCTACGAATATGCTTGCCGTTCCAATTTTACTCTACTCATTCGGAGTAGTGAAATGGACTCGGTAGGAGCTATATCAACTCGATAAGGTACATCATTTTTCAACCCGAAAAATGATGTACATTCATAAGAGTTTGTAACAGAACTCGTCCGCTTCACGGTTATACTTTCCCCGACAATAGGAAGGTCGTAAAATTTTGAGGTTGAGGTGTTTACATGGCAGAATAGTACTGGATGTAACCTGTAAAGTTATCAGGAGTTTGTATCTTCTCTGTATGATCTGCAACCACGAGAAAAAAGGAACTGGAACATTTCTTTTTAAAGTAGGTGTCGGGACGATGAACTTGGTTTTGTTTTCGATCACAAATCTGTGACTGAGTTGGACCTGTTCAGTAAAAAATCCACATAAAAGCCACATAGGGCTAAGCTGATGCATGGGATCTTCTTCAACAACATTGAAGACCTCGGTTTTATCAAAACATCTGACATTTGCCTTCATGGTCTGCCAGGATGGTGTCTCGCAACATTATAGGCTACTGTAGTCACATGATGGGTATCGAGGTCCCGGACACCAGGTGCAAGGCCTGTCGTGAGACGCCTGGAACCATAATGCACTTGCATGTACAGCATATGCAATATCATATTTCGATTGAAATAATGCGGCCCTAAGAGTGCTATGTTACCATATATGGCGCATTTCTATTGACATTGGTGTTGACCTACGCTCTGGGGGATATTGAAACTGTTCTAGGGTATAAGATGTGTCGAATTTATTGTAACTATTCATTCCCCACTCACAGACTCATATATACTTACAACTTTGGTGTAGTTTTTCTCAACCAAAAAAATATATGTTCTGGAGTATTCAGCTCCGTTTAAGGAAAATGGATAAAATGTCGGAATTTTCTCTTCGAACTTAGCAGTCTGTATCACTCTCTGGAGATGGTTGTTTTGAAGCCGGCATCCTCACCGAATGTATTGGGGCTTCGGACAGTTCCCGACCAGAGCCACCATCAAGGTAAAAAAAAGTAATAAGTTGTTGAGTACTTGGTTCCTTCGTGAAATGATGCTGTCTCTACTCTCAGATCTCAAGGTCATGCCGGCCTGTCAAAATAAGGCAGAAATCTTGGCCGGACAAATGCAGAGTCATTCTTGCCTCATTGCGTCTACTAAGTGCACACAATTTCTGGACCCAACGATCACTCCCTTTACGTTGTGGGGAATGGTAATTGGTTGATGAATCTACTAACATAAGCTGGTCGGTTATAAGCATTGGAGAGTCGAAAGACTTCACCAAGCTCTGACCTAGCTTCTGCCCATTCCGTTATGACCCATTGCAGCTTACTCACTCGTCCTTTACCACTTTTTCTGCACACTCATTGACAAAGTTAATCCATTCGTGCTCTATGCGATTAAATCCCCGTAGTTGACAAGTCCCACTCTCCCTTTCCTTACATTTCTTCAACTCTTTGCAACCCAATCGCTCTGTTTCCAGACATCTGCCCAAAACATGTTCCGCTGTCTCTGGCTCTTTCCATTCAAAGTTGCACAGGACTTCGGGCTCCAGTCCAAATATCGCTAGGTAACCTGAGCAGTCTCCAAGTCCTAGTATCAGCAGGACAGCCTTCTTCGACAGGGAAGATCATATAAACCAAAGTGTGGCGCAGTGTCTGTGCAACAGAACCAGTCATTTCTCCATTCAATTCTTTCTACCATTCATGCAAAGTTATCTTTCTTCTGACTAGTCAATGTCACCCGATCGTTCTTCATTCCTCTCTTACATTCCAGATGCGTTCTCCTATTTCTTTCATTCTCACTGTCATGCCCTCTTCTTCATAGAAGTTTGGTGTACGCTTTCCATTAATTCCTATCTTCATTATCTGCGTCATGTATACTGTACACTGAAGTGTACCTCCAACCTTGGAAGCCATAACACACTTGTCAGCCAGTCGCTCCAGCGATACGTCAGCAAGAAATTCCAATAGAAACCATATGTAAACTGTTACTTCTGTGTCTGAATTATTTTTTATTCTAGGTTCGCGTTCCCTAACTTATTCCTCATATTTACGATTTCTCGGAATTATCAGTAAACAAATAATTCCAGAAATCACTAGCACTAAGAAATAAATATATTACTACGTAAACTAGAAGAATACATTTACTTATTTCTTTCCGAGATTTCGCTAGTAAATGATTCAAGTTAGTTAGGTAGATATGAATCATATCAAAATTCTCAGATGGAAGATTTTCAGAGGATGACGACTATTGATAAAAAAATTTGTCATTATTCTAGACAAAAATTATTCACCTCTTTTTCCATTTTGAAATGAATATAAATTGAACACTATAAAAATAACATCAAAACTGAAGGGAAACTGAATAAGACTGATGTACAAATATATTGACTTATTTGGTTATTATTCTGGTTATTATTCTAATTAGTATGTTACTAATATATAGAACTTTGGCTGACAAAGGCTGTTTATTTATTTGAAAAAATATTGATTATTTTAGATCTTTTGAGAAACTATACTTTAGAGCATGCATTGAAATTAAAATTTTTATATTTACCAAGGAAGGGGAAATTATTGATAGAATAATGATTTCTTTATAAATTCACACTGAAATTTGCAGATCTGTGTCAGTCATAACTTCAAAGTCAGAGAGAATCCAATGTTCCACTACATAACTGCATTGGCTGATAAGAATACTGGTAACTATGCGGATGCAGTAAGGTCTCTGACTGCTGCTTTGAGTTTGGTAAATATTAGATCCAAAGGAAATCCCCTACCAGAAGTCAGTCTAGTAGAAAAGGCTTCAATTTATGTTGAAATGATTGATACACTCAATATTGTTGGCCAGAAAGATGAGGCGTTGAGGATTTTAGAAGATGCTACTGAAGAATTACGAGGTACTCCTGAAGAAGCAAGGTAAATATAAAATTTGCTGATGATTCAATTAAGGAAAATAATTTCATTGCAATAAGATCCAATATATTCAGGGATTCACAGGATATGAATTTAATATAGAATAAATAAAATAACCTTTGTCTAATTTATACTTAGTGTATTATTTGTTTTAACTTATCAATGGCATAGAATATTTGGACATCTGAATCCAGAAATGGTATCTAACTGGACATTTGTGAGCATAAATTATCATAAGAGGTTTGCTTCAAAGGCTTATTTAGCAGACAATCATTCGGTAAGTCTTTATTTTGGATCAAGTCCATACCGATGTTTGTGGTCCAATGCAAACACTCACACCTGGCGGAAGAAAGTATTATGTAGTAGTGGTAGTAGTAGTAGTATCTTTATTCATCATTAAAGCAATCTACAGATCTTTGCAGTTGAACACATAAAATGCTTATCAGACTAGTCAAATATGGATTTACATACTAAAAATCTGGTAGGGAAATTGAGTAGTATCAATTTTATTATCAGACAACTGAAGAGCACTGTATCTACAGAGGTTCTCAGAATGGCATATCATGGTCTAGTGTCGTTGGCACTCACATATGGCTTAATCTTCTGGGGTAATTCAATACATATTGATAAAGTATTCATTGCTCAGAAGAAAATCATAAGATGCATAATGGGAGTTCGAAATAATATATCTTGTAAAGCTTATTTCAAGTCATTGTCAGTTCTAACTTTACCATCACTTTATATATATCTTCTGATTATGAATATCAAAAAAGACTAAGATACCTACATGAAAAGTAGTGAAATTCAACAAAAAATATTAAGATACCTACATGAAAAGTAGTGAAATTCACCGACACCTAACACGCAATAAAAATGACATTCGCTCACAATTCTCTAGGCTTAGTGAGGCACGGAATTTTCCAAAATATTAAGGAATTCTATGTTATAACCGTTTCAATAGGATCTTTGGTGATACAAACAATTTTAATATCTTCAAAACAACACTGTTCAATTATCTAAATGAAAATACTTTCTATACAATAGAGGAGTACTTCACTGGTTGATGCTAATAGTTAGTAGTTATGTATGTATATAAAAATTGACTGTGAGTTTGTTTAGAATGTGAATAAGTTTGTGAACAAGGCGGAGTGAATGATGACAGTGAGTAATCTGATAACTTTTTTATAATCTCTTGTAAGTTCTTATAATGTTTTTTTTATGAGATTTAACATGTTTTGACTAGTCTGATAAGTTTTGTACCTTTGTGTAAAAAACCTTAAAATATAGCATACTTTTTTAACTTCGGAATTATAGTGGATGCTATCTTCAAATGCTGCATAAAAAAAGTGCATAATCGCGTGATGTATATAATTTTTTAATATAGTCCATTGGAGATTTGTAGACAAAACAGTCATCAGGCAATAGATGATCATAAAATTACGTGCACGTGACACCTGTCAGTGCAGGGCTGATACCCTTCATGGTATTAGCCAGGGGAGTAGTTGTTTTCTGATAGGTGTTAGTCCATTAACCTACTGTGTAGGAAGTTGAGACTGGCCTGAACGAATTGTTCAAGTATGCCCACTGAGTATATGTGAAAATATTATCAATGAATTGAGAGGAAAGCATATGACCGAGTCAAAAAAGCCAACTTTGAACTCATTTTATTGTTCTGTGGTAACTAAACTGGCTGAAAAAATCATTGTGAAAAACGATCCGATGTCATACTTGAAGAATATTGCAGTACCTTCTACTTTCTTCTTCACACCTACGGATATCTATGAAATGAAAGAAATGTTTGGTGAAATCAAAAATAAAAATTCGGTGGGGTGGGATGCCATTTCCTTAACAATTCTGATAACTCTTCCTGACAGGGCTTTGAGTGTGTTGGCGGAGGCAATAAATTTCTCATTGTCCAAAGGTATGTTCCCATCGTGTCTCAAAATTGCCACAATTATTCCTCTACATAAAGGAGACGATCTTCACAATCCAACTAATTTTAGGCCAATTGCTTTGCTACCCTTCTTGTCTAATGTTATAAAAAAACTGGTAAAAAAAGCGAGTAATATCTTTCATCGAGAAAATAAATATAATAAATTTATTCCAGTTTGGCTTTCAGTCTTCAAAAGGTACACAAGACGCCATATTTTCACTTCTGGAAAACCTGTACACCAATCTTAATGAAAGAGAATCTGCGGCGGCCATGTTTTGTGACCTAACCAAGATCTTCGATTGTGCAGACCACATGCTACTTCTGCGCAAGCTAAAAGTTCACGGATTTAGAGGATTTGCATTACTTTGGTTTGAGACGTACCTTTCTCATCGGCGGCATAATGTTCTATTAGATGGAATTTCATTAGAGGAACGTTTCATTGGCAGTGTGGTCCCACAAGGTTCCGTTTTGGGACCGGTGTTGTTTCTCATTTATGTCCATGTTGACATAAGTGGTAAATTCACATGTTTCACTGACGTATAGCACTGCCACTATCCTGGGGCATAGTTATACCGCCTCAAATTTACTTGAAATTATCTTCGACATAAGCAGGGTGAAAAAGTGGTATGATTCCAATCTTTTATCATTCAACATCGACGAAACAAATGTGTTCACGTTTAGGTATAACATAGGGGAAGTACACTTGGAAAATGTAAAAATTGAAAATTTGGAGAAGAACAAAATTTTAGGGCTCTTCAATGATGAAAATTTGATTCCCATGTCGACTACTTATGTAAAAGACTAGCAGCAGGATATCATGCAGTGAGAGTTGTTGCAAGAGAGTTAGACACTACTATCACAAGTTCAGTTTATTTTGCACAAAATGAGTCCTATTTACGTTATGGAATTTGTTTCTGGGAAATTGTGCACAATTCAGTTTTAATATGGTATTCTCTCTACAAAAAAGATCCATTGATGTTGAACAATCAGTAATTCAAAACCATACATATATGATATCAAAATTAACCAAATCATATACGAAAATAATATAAATTTTCACAAAAAACTACACGCTATAAAGTTACAGAATTCAGTGTTTCTAGTCTTCATCAACTCCATGAGTTAAAGTAGTAGGACGTTACCTGAGAAAGGAAGTGATGAGGATGATCAGTCTAGTCAAATAAAAGACAATTGTGATGAAACAGAAATAACTCAAAGTAATCAATACGATTACCGAATATTACTGGATTCTTTTTTAAGGTGGAAGACGATGTATATAAGTGTCAAGAATGTAAGGAATAAAAAATATTTTAATGGGTAGGAAAGACAAGGAAGTTTCATTAATACTATTGAATATTCAATTGGTACTCAATAGGGTGTTGCATACTTTCAGATTTTTCTAGAGTAAAATAACTTTCTAAAATTTGTATTTTTAACAGTGGCTCAAACCAGAAGAACCTTTCGAATGTCCAAATTACTTTATGGCTTCGAAATTCTGTAGGGCTCAATCTTTGCATGGAACTGATGGAAATGCTCAAAATGCACCTATCCCCTGAATGGGGTTGGCCAAAGTGATATCCACTGCCCGCCACTCGCGATGAAACAACCCATTTTTATGGTAAAACATACTATGGGGCAAAATAGGCCCAAAATTCCTTCAGATTCGTGATCAGGACTACCAACTTACTACGAACACACTTTTTCCCAGAAAAAATAAAGTCCTGAAAAATCCGAATTTGTCTCACTTCTCATGAAACACCCCCGTACTTTTCGTAATTATTGAAGTAGATTTTTTTTTGGTTTTGACATCAAAACACGAACCCGTCCTAGAAAATCAGAATTTTTACATGAAAAATCAATTGTTTGAGAAAAACTTGACTTGCTTTCACATACATAATTTATTTTTTGTTTTGGTATCAGGAAAGTTATTCCTTCTCGCAAAGTCAATAAGAGAGAAAATGTTAATTTTGTAAGTGGAATGGAAATATGATATCAGTGAGGTTTTAGGATGATTAATACTAATTCAAATTCTCATCTTCTCATTATTTTCAAAAAACCAAGTATTTTTTGTGGCAAAAAATTTTGTGTAGTTCAAAACTCTTTCGTAGTAGTACTTTCAAAATCACGATTTCAAACAAAAAACAAAACAATCAATTTCTATTGATTTAATTGTCGATAATTTTATATTTTTGCGCCTCCAAGCGAACACATTTTTCTATGCGACTTCTATTATTTCCTCCAACTCTTCTCAGTTCTCTAGGTGTGATTTCTCTACACGCTCGTATAATTCTTTCACGGAGATTATCCCTATCCTTATAAACTTTAGTTTTCAACGTTCCCCTCAAATAAAAATCCAGTGGACTTAGATCTGGGGATCGTGGTGGCCATACTACGAGAGGGCTATTGGGTCCTATCCATTTCATAGGTTCCTATTCAACCAAACCGTTGTTATGCCACTATTGTGAACTGGTGAACCATCTAACTGAAAAATCATGTTGTGTCTCACATCTAAAGGTAGTTCTTCCAACACATCGGAAAACGCATTTTCGAGAAAATCAACGAATAGTCATCCGTTTAGGTTTTGATCGAAAAAAATGGCCCGATAATATTTTCGTTCAGAATACCACACCACACATAAATTTTCTGAGATATTTGTTCTCTACAATTCACTAACCAATTTGGATTTTATTCAGCCCAAAATCTCATGTTCTTGGAAGATACAACACCATTCGTGGTAAAGGTAGCCTCATCACTGTATAAGATATACTTTAAAAAATTCCTGTCATTGAGATAATTTCCCTGCATCCATAAACAATACTCCATACGGCGGATTTCATCTCCTTCGTGCAAAGTATGTAAAAATTTGGGTTTGAACGCATGCATTTTATGCCTCTCTAAACACCTCCATATTTTACTGCGGCCAAAATTGAGTTGAAGCGATAAGTTTCTCAAACTAATTCTAGGATCAGCTTGATAAGCCGCCAATATGGCATCATCTTCAATATGTTGTGCTCAAGAAAAGATTATATATTTTATAGACAGTTCCAGGGTTTACAGCTACCTCAAGCGGGTGTCTTCTATTGAATTCAGCGGCCGCTTCACGATAAGACCTCACTCCTTCATCAACAATTGACACAATTTCAATTTTTTTGAAGTGGCAGATGTGCCATGTTGAACTTTGTTAATAAAAATGAGATGATATCAGTTAAAATAGGAACTTCAAGAAATATTAACATATAAACAGAAACTCACGAATAGAAAACAACTGGAACACAGGGACAATACCCATCACAAACTCAGGAAAAATGAACACAATGGGAACAAAAACACGTTAGGAACAACAGTGATACAAGGAAGAACAATAGTAGAAACAACAAATGCAATGAAAACTGCTCTTGGGGTTAATACAACAAGATCTTTCAATAATATTGTAAAGTTGACAGTAAATATCTGAACTATTTTGCCCCCGAGTGTGTTTCACCGTAAAAATGTGTTGTTCCATCGCGAGCGGCGGGCAGTGTATATCATTTTGGCCAAACCCATTTAGGTGGTAGGTGCATTTGGAGCATTTCTATCAGTCCTGAGAGTTTCATTATTCTAACTCAATTCTGCTTAAAAATCTGTTTTTTCCGTTAATCAGCTGTCGCCCCCATACGAACAACAACTCTCAGAAGTTAGAAACTTGTGCGAGCTAACGACTAACGTGGTCTTACCTTTTAACGTGTGATTCCTATTACGGAAGATATGGGGGTGTTTCCATAAGAAGTGAGACACATTTGTACTTTTCAGGACTGAAATTTTTTCAGTCCTGATCACGATTCGGAAGAAATTTTGAGCCTATTTTACCCTCTAGTAGGTATACGTTGGTGAAGATAGAAAGACAGTTACGTTTCATATATTACAATAGGGGCAACAGAGAGAGGTGCGAGCACATATTCACGGCCGAGTAGGCTCTTACGAATTAGGAGACAACTATCATACGTTGCCACTAATTTTAGCAGGAGGTTTCAATGTTAATTTCGCGTCCGAAGATGGACAACTCTTGGTAAACTGCCTACATGATAAATTAGAACTACAAATTAATAATAACCAAAATGAGCCTACCATACGACATGGAACAACAATCGATGTAGTTTTCTCTAGATATCTTTATAGACATACATATAGATAGAGCTAAAGAAGTTTTACTTTAGTTGTGTGTGCTTATTATTATTATTATTCCTTTTTCTTTATTTTTACTCTGTAGGCTCTTTTTTTGTATCTTGATTATTTTTATCGTTTTATTGCTTTATATAATTGAGATATTCATTCTGATTTTATTTGTTTTCATAGATTATGTAACATATGAGTAGTAGAATCATATTAGACAATGAAAAACCGAACTAATGATATTCAAATTATTCTGATATGTTGACTGGTTTTATTCAATTTTTAGTAATGTACATTCTTATAAACAATTTCCTGAGACTATTCAATATGTTTATTATTATTCACTAAGTACCTGATAATACTAGCTTGAATAATTTTTTTATTCCAGAATATTACTGTTGAGCGCTGAGCATTCTTTGGCCAGAAAAAATGTACAGGGTGCCCTAGATTTACTTAGCAAAATAAAACCAACTGATTCTTGTTATACGGATGCAAAATCAAAGCATGCAGAAATATTGTTGAAATATCGCAAAGATAAATATGCTTTTTTACAATGTTACATGGATTTTGTTAATGATAATCCCTGCCCCGAATCTTATGTGATGCTAGGTGATGCATACATGAAAGTACTAGGTAAATTACTATATTTCAATACCACAATTTTTTATGTTTTATCTCATGCTAAAGTGTACAGGTTTTCTGATTTGGTATTTATCTATGAACGTAAATATATTTCGAAATTAACCAACAAAATCTATTGAAAACACTCTCAAGTATACCAATTAACTTAATAGTTTTATAATTTATTTGTTTTTCAGAACCTGATGAAGCCCTTCAATGCTTCGAAAAGGCTTTGAAAGAAAATCCTAAAGACCCTTTTTTAACCTCAAAAATGGGTAAAGCTCTTGTTCAGGCACATTATTTTTCTCGAGCTGTTATATTTTATAAGGACACTATAGAAAATACAAATGACATTGAACTGAAGTTACAGCTCGCTGAACTTTATATGAATTTGAGAGAATATGAGAAAGGTGAATTGCTATTATTGAATGAACTTGATGAAGAAAGAGTTCAAGACCTTGAAGATATTACATTCCTGAAAGAGAAAACAAGATTGTTGAATTTACTTTCCCAGATTCAAGAAAAATCTGGAAATATTATGTATGCCATAAAAAGCTTGAAAGAAGCTAGAGAATACCAAAGAAAAATACAAAAAAGGATAACTGTTGATCAGAATGGTTAATAAATGAAAATTGAACTCTATATCCAATACTACTCTCTTTTTTTCAGTAACGCCAGAAATTGAGATACAAGCAGTAATTGATCTTTCAATGAAATTGGGTGAAATGGCAGTGGCTTTGAAAAGTAATGAACAAGCAATAAATTTCTATAAGGACGGCCTTGACGTGTCACCTAATAACACGATTATCTTAGTATCCCTAGCAAAACTGTATATGCAAGTGAGTGTAGAATGACTTATCTATTTTTGACATTGACATCCTGGGTTGGTGCAATATGTTTTGGTGCCCTAGAAAAAAGTATCATGAGGCGCCCCTTTCCCAACTTGATTCATTGTTCATTTACAGTTATTCCATGACATAAGCAACAACAATTGAATTCACGTTGTTTGTTTTGTGGTATTCTGCTTGGCAAAAGTGGAAATCACTCCATTAGGTTGATGTTTTGAGCTAACTCTTGTTCGATTGATGTAAGTGTTAGTCCTACCAACGATAAACAAATTAGGTAATCTTTCTTCCAAGTCAGACTGATAAATGAAGTCAAGCACTTTCTTTGGCGTTAACTATTCTGAAACTCATTTTCAAATGGCTTCAAGTTCATCACACGATTCCAAACCATCAATATTTTTCTGAAATAAAAAATCTGTTGAAATCTGTATTTCCATTATCCAGCTGTTGCACCCCCTACGAATGACAACTCTCAAAAGTTGAAACTTGTGCGAGCTAAGGACTATCGAGGTCTTACCTTTTAACGTGTGATTCCTAAAACGGGTTGGACGATAGGAAGTGAAAATCGATCATCCGGCCTTGCGGTTCGAACCACCGGTTTGCACAGCTGTCAATTGACTGAATGGAACTGACCACCCACGTCAACCCACCAGGCTACCGTCCTACCAAAGTACAAAAACCCGTATGTTGAATTTATCTCTTGCATTTGAATCACTCATCAACTGAGTTGATTGCTATGTTCAGAACCGCGAAATTAAATGTTATCTTATACTTCTGTTTAGCATCCTTTGTTTCGAATGCCTTTTTCAAATCACTTTGGCGTTAATCCTGTTTCCAATGCCGTTGAAATACCAAGATCTCCTGCAATTGTTCGAACATCCATCAACATATTCTTGAAACTCATAATTTCTTCATTTTCAAGGACTTTCTTAGGGTTTGCAAAGCTGAGTTGAAACAAGATAAATCAAATTTTCTTGTCTGAATTATCTTGCAAGTTGAAATAGATTCATATAAAATGTTATTGAAATCTGAAGTTGACATCAATCAAAAACACTTTTCCTCACCTGAACAAAAATTTTATGCCAGAGTTTTCAAATTCTACTCATGAAGCTGAAGTTGGTGTCTTTCACAATTTCTTTACAGTCTCAATATCAAATGACATATTCAGGGTGGCTCTAAACTAAACAATATAAGAATATAATGCGAGATTATCATCAGTTGAATGAAGTTCGTTTTGTTATATTTTGTATTTTCCATATTAAAACTGGGCTAATGAAAAATGTTCTTGTTTCTTTCAGATGAATTATCTTGAATTGTGTCAGCAGACTTGCTCCACAATTTTAAAAATTGATCCATTCAATGAAACAGCTTCGGTGATGATGGCTGATATAGCTTTTAGAAAAGTAAGAATAGAAGGTAGTATTGATTTGAGAAAATAACTGCATTTTTTGGAAGAAAAAAAAAGAAAGATATTTCCGGTTCAATTATAAGTGGTTCTAAACGTGTTTCTTAAAATATTCTGTCATATCACATTCGATGCAACTAATAAATTTTCTGTATTGATCTATGGTATTTGGATCATGTTGTCTGATTTTGCGAAAAACTCATTTTCACAGGTGCCTCTTTAGAATTATATAATTGTAATCAAAAGTAAAATGTATAGACAGTGTGTATATATACCACTAAATTGGAATAAATTCTGTAAGTAATTTTACTGACAAGAAAGTCCTATAAGACGTCAACTATAGACATTCTTGGCGGATATTTTACACTACTACTTTAAGATTAACCTTCACTTGGCTTTGGACAGCGATGTAATCAATAACTTGTATAAATGCAAAGACAGAGCTTAGAAAGAGGAAAAAATGACAAATTTGTGGCACATATCAGTTTTTTCCATTTAAAATAAGGTTAGAAAATTGTTTTTTTTTCAAATGTACTCCATAATAAATTGGGTAACTTATGTATTCATGTTTTTATTCATTTAGTCATTTACGGGTTCGGGTTCATTTACAAATTAACCAGAACTGTATGTATATTACAGAAAAATAAAATATAGTTATATTGAAATACATGACCTGATGTTGATGTAGTATATGCTCCAAGTACTTCTTGTCATAATCTTAACCTATAATTGAAATGATTTCTCACTTTTCTCGATATATCACTTTTTTTTATCAATCCGAAATAGGCCGAGAAACTTGAATTTCTTCTGAAATATACTTCATAAAAAAATGAGCAACTATTTCAGTCTTAATTTTACATATGCTCAAAATGTGAAAAAGGTATCTATTGATTTAACCCTAGCCTATGATAAAAAAAATGTCTCAGTTAACATTTCAGATGCAATGAATATTATGATCTCAGTTATACATTTTCTCAATCATCTAAATCACTTGATTTTGTTTGATACACTTTGTATATTATATGTCCTCATAGGAAAAAGTCCAATGGTGTAGGATCTCATTACCTTGCTGGCCATTCCACCTCTCTGTGCACACCAGTACATTTAATTGAGAAATTTCCATTCTAATATTGTCGAACGTTCACTTCAATATTCAGCTGAAACTATATTATTATTGATTTAATCCGGTAACTGGGAATTTATTCTGTCGGTCAGTCAGTAATATGTCAAGATTAATTTGGTCCATGTACATTTCCCCCATTAACATTTCATATGACACTGATCCAAACATTAATTTTCGTGGTTTCTGGTTGCAAAATTCTTTCATTCAATGACATTTTTCCATTGCCCAGTACCAATTGTTTTGGCGGCCTATATTTCCATTCAAAGTAAATGTTGACTCGTCAGAAAACAAAATATTTTCCATCCTATGTTTACAGAACTCAATCCGTCGATCCACGTCTTTCTCAATTAGTTCTTGCATCAGATGCAATTTAAAGGGATGCATTCATTCTGATTTTATTATTCCCAACATGTTTTTAAAAAGATGTAGGTAGATGTGCCTGGGTTTTCTTCGACTGCAAGTAAAATGTCTTTTTTTATCTTTCTTATATGCCTAATATCTCTAAATTGTATTCTTCAGTTCTACTAATTTTTCTTGAAAAATTCGTGAGTAATCAGGAGATTTTGTGCAAAACATACGTCTTATTTCAGTTTGTGTCCGTGTGTTTCTACCATAACCAACTATCACGAATATTGTGATTTTATGGGTTTCTGTCAAGTATTACATTTCAATTCTCTGTTGTTGAACAGTAAAACTAAAATACTTGTACCTACTTTTTGTTTCGATGACTGTATCGGTATTCATAAGGAATGTATCATATATAGGGTGTGCGCGTTACTAATATTAGATCTATTGAATCAGAAATGTCTAAGGAAGTGAGTACCCATTTCAGTTATAGGCTAGGATTATGCAAAAACTATTTGTAGCATTAGCTCAATCGAAATCAGGCAAGTTACCTATTTTGTTATGAAGTACCTATATAAAAAACATAATTCTCTCTGCTTATTTCGCATTGACGAAAAACCGATACTTGCCCCAAATTTGTCATTCTACTCTCTTTCCAATGATGTGTCACAAGCCTTACCTTTCCATTCATACACGATGTCGATCATATCGCTGGCCGTAGTCAAATGACCGTAAATCTGCAAGAAGTTATGTAAATGTATGCCATAAACATCTTTAGTTGACGTGTTCATGGAATTTTTTGATAAATATCAGAAAAAAAAATTACAGAGTTTATTCCAGTTCAGTGGTTCACACTGTATATCAGAAAATGTGGTAAAACATTCCGAACAAATTCACAATCTGGATTATATCTACATAAATGTGAAACATCTCCTGTTAATCTAGTTCAGTGCATTTTCAAGACGTTATTATTTCAGGTTGACTTTGATATGGCACTTTTTCACTTTACCCAATTAGTTACTAAACAGCCAACTAACTGGGCGGCCCTTATTCGCCTTATAGAAATTCTGAGAAGAACAGGTAATATCGAAGACTGTGGAGAGTATCTTAGTATTGCAGAAAAGAAAAGTGGAAATCCTTTGAAAGATACTAAGTACTTATACTGTACAGCTTTGTATCAGTGGTATTCTGGCAATCTTAATGGAGCACTTAAAAATTTTAACAGTTCACGACAAGATCCAGATTTTGGCCAAACAGCTATTTACAATATGATTGAAATTTGTTTGAATCCCGATGATGAAATGTTTGCTGAACAATTTATGGATAGTGACGACATTGAATACAAAGATTCTAGAAGCATGGCCTTGAAAACAGGTGATTTCATTTTGGAATATAATATATATAAAATATTCTCAAATAGATTCTCATGTGGACTCAACTCATTTTATATAAGAAATGTAGCCACCAAATAAATATTTCCCACATCTTTTATTTGAAGAAGGGGAAGTAGAAAACCAAAACGATTTTTTTACTTTTGTTTGAAAGAAAATATCTATTTGAATCACTTCAAAATCAGAATATGTTGTTTCGGATTGAAAATATTGAAATTGAATTGAAAAAATATTATATTTTGAAGAAACTCAAAAATACATAGCCATAAAATCAGAAGAGCAAATAATATTCATTCAAGTAGCATTAATTTAAATAAAAGGAAAGAAAATCCAGTTTATAGCTTTATATATGTACCAAACAAATCATCAGAGGATAAAACATGCAAATACATAAATATTAAAAAAAACGGTAAGATACTATCCTGCTATGATGATACCCCTTAGTTTGTTTTCCTTAACATTCTAAAGTATCCGCTCTCACTATGAAATATAATAAAATTATAATGAGATGTGTTTCCTTTCCTTTAACAAAATCTTCATCATAAATAGGCACTTGCTTGAATAGTGTAGGTATTGGGGTCAAATAATATTTTGTATCAATCTGCATATATTTCATGCAACTCCTGAATTATTCTGTAATTATTGTGTTTAATTGGTATTGTTTTGATTATTTGTCAGGTTGACAATTAATTATTTCAAGTTATAAGTAAACGTTTCATAAAAGGATTATCACCTTCCAAGTATTCTGAAGTATTCTAAATACAAATATACAGTCCACAATCATTAAAAGTGAATAGATAATTCAAGCAGGTTATTTGGCCTTTCCACACAGCTTATGAAAGACCAATCACTGACAATGAAATAACCATAAACATAGGCACAAATAAACATAGGCACAAATAAATAACTCTGTGGTTTATTATTCTCCTGTGAAGTACCTAGCAATTTAAAGTTATTTCAACAGTAGTATATTTGTTAAATACATAACTCTATCTGAAAAGTGTTGATAGAATAAAATATAATTTCTGAAAGTTTTGGTACCAATAAATAGAAAACTTGGAGATAATAATTTTGACTATGAAGTGGTTTGATAAAAATTATATTGTTGAATGAGATTCTATGTATTATTTCAGCCGATCGCCTGTTACGCGAATTGAAGCAGAATGAATACAGATGTACATGAGCTTATACAGATAATTAATGAAATCAAAAATAAAAATTCGGCGGGTATGAATGGAATGTCTGTATAAATATTTGAAAATCTACCTCTAAGTGCATTACATGTTTTGGTTGAATGCATTAATAAATCATTCAAGAATGATATATTTTCCACCTGTCTGAAAATAGCTATGGTTATTCCATTACATAAGGGCGGAGATCTGGAAGACCCCTCAAATTTCAGGCCCATTTCGTTATTATCGACCCTGTCAAAAATCATTGAAAGATTGGTCAAAAAAAGACTAATGTCCTTCTTATTAATAAACAATGTGCTATCTAGTCTTCAGTTCGGCTTTCAAAGTTCGAAAAATACCACAGATGCCATTTTCTCCTTTCTAGAGAATGCATACTCTAGCATAAATGACGACAAGGCTGTTGCAGCAGTGTTTTGTGATTTTCTCGAAAGCTTTTGATTGCGTTGATTATAAGACACTGCTGCGGAAGCTTAGCCATTATGGGATGAGATGAACTAATTGGACCTGATTTGGTTCATATTTGACAGGACGTTGGCAGGTGGTGAAAACATCAAGTGGACAATCTGATCTCAGTGACATAAAACATGGAATACCTCAGGGTTCTGTTTTAGGACCAATGTTGTTTTTAATATACTTAAATGACCTAATAACCATTAACATCGCAGGACAAATTACCGTATTTGCCGACGATACCACTATTATATGGATTAATAAATTAATCAGCTATCAAATATGATAAAAATAGATATTCAAAAAATTCAAGCCCAAACAAAACAAAACTAGTTACTTTCAAATGTAAACTAGACGATTTAAATTTGGATAACTACTACATAGAAAAAAAACAGTACACTAAATTCCTAAGCATTTGTATAGACAATAAATTAAATTTTGAAGAACATCTATCCCATTTGAGTAAAAAAGTATCTAGTGGATGTTATGCTATTATAGTGTTATCAAGTGAACTAGGGTACACTACAGCTAGAATGGCTTTCTTTACATTGATCGAATCTCATATTTGCTATGGAATAGCTTTCTGGGGACATTGTAATTTACAGTTACGGAATACGATATTTGTGCTTCAGAAGAGGTCTTTGAGATACCTTACAAACTCTAAGTCAAGATATCACTATAAGTCTTTATTCATCAGACACAAAATATTAACTGTCACCTGTTTATACATAATGGAAACAGTATGCTTAATTCATAAAAATAAAACTAGCATGTACCTACACTCCCGGACCAAATTGTCACAACACCAGATAAAAGCATATGCTTTATTTACTTATTACAAAATTTGCCTTGTCTCAGCATTCTCTGATTTATGAAAGTACCATTCTAAAAAATAGCACAGATATCAAAAAGTTCCGAAGTACAGTTAAGAAAAAAATTTCATTTTTCGATCCATGAATTCCACAGTGATAACCTTTAAATCCTTGGAATTTATTTTGCATTGTTACATTGTTTCATTCTGAAAAATATTGCTGCCCTTTGCCGGTGGAACTTTCTTGTGAGAGGGAACCTCGCTTCACTGCATCTATTTCAAATTCAATAATTATAGACATAAAAAATCAAGAGCCATCCATTTGAGAAGACAGCTGAATCCACTAGTTTTATTCCCCTTAAAGCCATGATAGAATTCATCGCACGACATACGTTGATGATTCGTTCTCGAAGATATTTCAAGGTGAAGTGGTGCGATATACTTCGTTTTTTATTCACAAAAAACTCAATATACGACTTGAGTCGGTTGATCGATGAGGTCACTCAATTGTAACCTTTCTTCTTAGCTAGTGACTTGAAAATCTGTAGTTTGAATAATTATGCACATTTTGTAAATAATTTGGGGGTGCACCATCATTTTGAACCATCATTTAATATTTGATGTATGCAGGTTTATTCTCTATGATGATAATAATAGCCGAGAGTTGATCTAATTTTGGCGTAAGTAAATTTTGGAGGAGAATTCGGAAAGGAATTTCCAAAATTGCCAGCCGACAGATTCAACTTTTTAGGATTTTGTATAGGTATACCACGCGATTAACTCCTACCTAGCAACGTCGAAATTGTTAGCAAATTGCCAAAAACGACTCTCCTCGATAGGAAGACTAAACATATTATCTCTGGTCTGGATTCCTGGCCATACTGGCCTGGAAGACAATGAGGCTGCTGACTCCCTTGCTTTATGGGACCCGAACCTGCCATTTGCATTACTATAGGCTTTGCCAAACAAACATTGAACACCTGGATGGCAAGAAGACTTCTGGCATAATCTTCCAAGATTGGCTCACTCCAAGGCGTTTATTCACCCTTCGAAGCTTGATACCAGACAGTTGTTGGACTACAGTAGGGTTGAACTACGATGTCTAACAGGCCTTCTTACAGGTCACTGTCATTTAAATCATCATATGCAGACACTCGGACTGTTGGAAGACAGTGTGTGTCGCCTCTGTTTGGAAAATGATGAAACAGCAGAGCACATACTTTGTGCCTACCCCGCTGGGGACCGAAAAAGGTTTTTAGAGTTTGGCAGAGCTGTACTTTTACCATCTGACCTGAAAGACCACTCACCATACAAAGTAATCGGCTTCGTTAAAAAGCTGGGTTTATTTGATCGAGTGTGTATAGGTGTGAGCCACAATAAATCCTTGCGGGTTGCGGTGGAGGGTCGAATAGACCCACTCACTTTGGACCCAACCTAACCTAACCCTAGGATTGCTATAGACCCAATAATGAAAATTGTGGTGATTACATATACCATTCAAAAAGAAAATACATTAAATAGGACATTTCCATTTCGCATCGCTAGTTCACATAAAATTTTGCAAAATTGCATGCGACAACCAAAGTTGCCTTCATTTAGCTCTTGCACTAATCAACTTTTGGATGGAACTTTTACTTTTTTAATAGTCACCACATTCATTATTTTTAAAATGAACCCTTGAATTGAGTACCACATAACGAATAAACTTAAAAAGTTATAAAATAACCTTTAAGCAACCATTCACCACAATGCACAAAACATTCAATGTCTATCTCAATGTCTATCTGATTCTTTTGGCAAGCAAAAGCTTGCTGAACAGCAACAACTGCAAATTGATCTAAAAGAATTATTTTGAATATTTTGATCAATATGATGGGTTTTTATGTCAAATCGATTTAACTCTTGTAGAGTTGGCATATCAAACCAACGAACGTCATCTCCTAAATGAACGGGGTAAATTTGGGAGTCAGTTTCATTAACAATCTAATCACTAAAATGGGTTTAGTTTGTTACAGTCGATTTCTGTAGTACCAAACTATGTTGCTCATGAATTACGATGAAAACTCCTGATGATAGGTATATTTACGAGGGTGATCTGAAAAGTTTCTGACCTAACAAAGATTTAACAAATTTTTTTCAGATTTTTTTTTATTTTTCAGCATAGTATATTTTCAATTTTCCACACTTCCAAATAGTACTCGGCGTTTTCTCTGCAAAATAATTGTTCACGAAGGTGATTGTCTCTTTATTTGACGAAAATATCTGTCCTCCAAGTGCAATTTTTAGATAAGGGATGGTGGATGGTCAAGCAGTTCAAACCGTAATTCGGGAATTTTTGCCATGGCAATCACTGAGGTGTGAGAGGGTGCTTTGTCTTGGTGAAACAGATTTTTTTCTGCAAATGTGGCCGTTTTCCGGAAGTTCTGCCTTTAGTTTATCAAGTATTGATGCATAGTATGCTCCTGTAATGGTTTTAATTCAGTGCCGAAAAAACAGTTTTTGTCTTCTTTGAGCCAGTTTTTTGCCTTTTTGGAGCCGGTTCATCTTTGCGGTCCACTGCTTTGATTTTATTTTTGTTTCAGGCGCATAATGGTGTATCCAAGTTTTATCTACAGTAATTAATCCGCTCCAAAACTCGGATTTATTGCGCCTAAACTGCATTGGAAATGTTCATTCGAATATGTTTTTGGTGTAACGTGAGAAAACATGGCACCAAACGTGCGGACAGCTTTCTCATGCCTAAATGTTGATTTGATATGTAACAAACACGTTCTCGACATGTTCATATCCTCTACTATATCTCTCACTTTAATTCGGCAGTCGTCTAGCACCATTTGGTAAACTTTGGCGATGTTTTCGTCGGTAGTTGTAGTTTTTGGACGTCCCGAACGTTCGTCGTCTCCTAAGATCTTATGGCTACGTTTAGCAGCTGCTCAAAATTTCACTGTGGTAAATAATGGTGCAGAGTCTACATACACAGAACCCAACTCATCTTTGATTTGCGTAGGCGTACTACCATTCAAAAACAAATATTTAATGACAGCTTGATACGCGATTTTGTCCATTTTCATAAAAACACTCACATCAACTTACTCAAACGACTGTTACATAACAACTGCGCGTCCAAAATGGCTGAAAATTTGGTGAGTAACTCAGACCACCGTCATATATATGACTTTCTCGAAAGTTTTTGAAGGCAGTTGAAGAATGGTAATGTATTTGTAGTTATTCCAGTCTTGATAGTTCGTACTGGACCCTCCGGTGTAAAATGAATCTATTGAAAACACTTTCCCAACACCAGAATAAAAATTACGTTCTCTCGACGCGCGTTTCGCTAACCAAGTTAGCGTCCTCAGGAGATCAATTGACATGAAGTATCTTTTTTCTCAGGAATGCGTTAAATATTTTGTGTAATGGTACCATCAACACCTGTGGTAGATTTAGGCTTCAACATTTTAATGATTTCAGCTATTTGAGATGAGTAAAAAATGACCATGTCAGTTTATTTTCATGTTTTCAGGTATTGCTACGGGGTATACTTTATTGAAACAGGGCCAACGAGCTAAAAATCAGCTGAAAAGAATAGTAAAATCAACTTGGACATTTGAAGATGCCGAATATTTGGAACGTTCTTGGTTACTTCTTGCTGATTATTATGTACAATCAGGAAAATATGATATCGCCACAGAACTTATCAATAAAGTGACTCAACATAATAAAGCATGTACAAGAGCCTATGAGTACCTCGGTTTTATATCAGAGAAAGAACAACATTATAAAGAAGCAGCCAATAACTATGGAAATACATGGAAACTTGGGGGGAAGTCTAACCCCTCGATTGGTTTCAAATTGGCATATTGTTTGATGAAATGCAAAAAATATCCTGATGCGATTGATATTGCTCAGGAAGTTTTAAGATTGAGTCCAGAATATCCTAGGGTGAAGAAGGATATTTTGGAAAAATGCATGAATAATATAAGACTCTAGAATTTTGATTAGATATAGAACATTGAGACTTGAAATGAATAATAGTTTTGTAATATTTAGTAATTTATTTTTTTTAGGTTACGATAACTTCATTTGTTCATTAGGTTATTATACTTTTTATTTGATGACGATAATTTTTGTTTCCTTTCTATAAAAAATTCATTGTCAGCATTGCATTGAGTGGCCAAATGAAAATGAAACAAAGCAGTTATTAGGAGCTATGTCAACATTTTATGTGAATGCAAAGACCTTTTGATTTTTGTTTGAAGGACGAAACTCTTTTCCAGTCAGCGAGGCTGACAATCACCATAACGTCAAGATTGGGTAAGATGTTGTTTTGAAGCCTTTGAAATTATCTTTAAAGTAATCTGTGAGTTTTAAAAATTCCCCTTAATAGTTTGCCCCCAATCTATTCGAGCAATGACTTGTATACTTTTGTAAGATCCATGCTGGCTTGCAGGGAGAAGTTTATTTTTTGTTAAAAATGACAGTATAGTTGATTTTTATTGTCAAGCTTGAATAATTTGGATATGTCGGAAAGTATACTATTTCCCCTATAATTTTCATAAGTATTTAGATCTCCCCTTTTGGAAATCGACAAAACCATGGCATTTTTCAATTCGCCTTGAAAAATTCCATATTCCATAGAATTATTAATAAATGCACTAAATGAGGACATAATCCTTGTGCGCATTTTCAACCATTTATTCAAGAAGCTATCATTCCCTTTCGCTACAGTATTTTTTAGCGATTAAACTAATATAAAAAAATTCGTGTTTGTTTTTGGGTACATAAAAATGGAGTTTTGGAAGACTGCAATATTATTCTCCATAAAAGTTTAGGCCATTTGTTCCTGTTACATGACTTGGCAAAAAATGCCTAAGTATTGAAATTTTTGGCTATGGTTGTGTCTGGTATTTTGTATTCACCATCATATATTACCTGAGCGTGATATCCAAAAAGCAATAAAATAAATAGTAGGATTCAACCTACCAAGTTCGGTAGATAAAATGATTACAAATAATGTGTTGAAATTGTTGCCATTTTAAACACTAGGAACATTAATAATAATAATAATAATAAATAAGCTTTTCACGTCTGGTGGAAAGTTCTTCTGGTGACTGGGTTTCCTTGTCCTCCTGTCGTAGATAAAATTTGCATCCGGATGTCAGGCATTGTTTTCTTGACAGGCTATCTGCGTTTCAGTAACTTTTTTCCGATGTCGAATTTCAAAGTCATAAGTTTGTAACTTTTTGATCCACCTATCTATTTGTTCTTCTGGGGTTTTGAAGTTGAAGAGCACCGAAGTGTTGAGTGGACCGACCTGATCCAGAATTTACGGCAATATAAAAAAGAGGTGTAGTTATTTACCACTTTGACCACTGCTAGTAGCTTTTTTCTCGTGACGCCATAATTTTTTTCAGATATTCCCCAGGAACTTACTAAAATAGCTAATAACGACTTCCTCTTTAAATTGAAAGGGTTATATTTTTAGGAGTGATTGCTTTTCAGGAAAGAAAGTTTTTGGATATCTACTTCTCCATCATGATATGTCTTGTTTTTTCTTATAATGTTATCCGGATTGGTACTGAAGGGCCCTAAGGCAAGTGTCTTATGGCGAAACATCGATGTCTAGCAGTGGGGATTACAGTGTTCCATGTAAGCGAAATTTTTTACCTTTCATTTAGTATATTGTGTAGGAATCCTATAAATGATATCTAATTCAGTTCTATAACGGATGTCTGGAATACAAACTGAGTAGAGAAAAGTGATTTTTGTATAATTCTGTGTTCATATTTGTGTCAAAAGAATTTTTTTTTCGTGTAATTCAATGTTTATATGAAAGTAGCTGTTTTAGGACTTTTTTTCCAGTTTGTGACTAAAAGTTACTTCTTTGCATGATCTACACATCTATATATAGAGTTACTTCTTTTGAAATTGATTGCTTGGAAGATTCCCACATTTTTTTTGTATTAAGATGGGGTAGTAGAAAGCCAAAGACTTCTTCTTCTTCTTCTTGTACCTGAGACTGCTCCTATTCTATGTTGGGATGCATCCTTGTCGAATATAAATGCCAGGACCGGTGCAATGGTCAAATGCCTCTTTAGGGCAGCAAATGCTTGCTGACAAGTCTGGGGACCAAACGAAGGGGGTTCTCCTTTCATTCAAGCTATGCAGCGGTCTGGCAATTTTTCCAAAGTCCATCACGAAACGTCAGTAATAGCTACAGAGTCCAAGGAAGCTTCTTACGACGTGCTTACTCTTTGCGGTTGGCCATTCTTGCACTGCCTTGATTTTCTCTGGATCTGTTTCAACTCCCTTTTATGACACAACGTATCCCAAAAAATGCACCTTCTCCTGGAAGAGGCACTTCTTGGAATTGGTCTGCAAATGAGTATTCCTCCGCAGTCTTGGAACACACTTCTCAAGTTTGACAGATGTTCGTCAAAACTTTTTCCGGTGATTATAAAAGCATCAAGATAGACCAAGTATGTTTTCCAGGTAAATTCTCTCGACACCAACTCCATCAAGTGTTCAAATGTTGCGGGTGCATTGCACAATAGTTTAAGTTTTTGTCGAACGGCATAAACTCAAACTGTTATAATCCATTGTCGGTGGAAAAGGCAATCTTCTCTTCATCCTCGGGGCGAACTGCCATCTGTCAATATCCGCTTTTAAGATCTAGTGTTGAGAACCATCTGCACTCAGGCAAGGTGTTCAGGGAATCATATATTTTAGGGAGAGGGTAACTGTACTTTTCTAAATACAAAATAACCACAGCTTTCATAAGTAATATATTTTATATATATTTTAGGGAGAGGGTAACTGTACTTTTCTAAATACAAAATAACCACAGCTTTCATAAGTAATTATAATTTAGGCAGAATTATGTTCAATGCAAAACCTAAACGAGATAAAATGAAAAAAATTAGGTATACATAAAATAGAATGTGGGAAATGCTCTGCAGTATATACAGGCCAAACCGGTAGAAACCACTTTTTTAGATTACAAATGTATCAGTTGGTTTTTGAACTTGATAATGGGATAAAACCTGAAACCGGTCGTGAAAATTAAATAACTAGTGTAAATTAGGCGAAAGTGTTTTCATTCATTTCATTAAAAGTAATTATAATTTAGGCAGAATTATGTTCAATGCAAAACCCAAACGAGATAAAATGAAAAAAATTAGGTGTATATAAAATAGAATGTGGGAAATGCTCTGCAGTATATACAGGCCAAACCAGTAGAAACCACTTTTTCAGATTACAAATGTATCAGTTGGTTTTTGAACTTGATAATGGGATAAAACCCGAAACCGGTCGTGAAAATCAAATAACTAGTGTAAATTAGACGAAAGTGTTTTCATTCATATCATTAAAAGTTTCATCTTAATTTTTCACATTTTTCATCTTGTTGATTAGACTATAATTCGATAAGATGTAAAATTTTCTTATTGAATAGCACACCTGCCTAAATTATCCTTGAAAATTTTTCTTGCTAACGAACAGTAAAATATATATGATTTTGTATTCATACTATCTTGGTAATTAAATTTTATGGAACAAAATGCAAATGAAGATACTTAGAACATGATATTTGCTAAACAATACTAGAGCCCAAAAGCGTTGTATCTATAATACATGTTCGATCTGCCTTATATCTCATCAGAGTTAGGTATTAGGTTCATTTGGCGGTCGATGTCGAAGGGTGATATTATTTACAGGCAGCTTTAGTTTTTTATCGATTCCACGATATAATAACGTCATCGCTAGTTTTTTTTTTGAGTGAAGAACGGTCCAGTCCAAATGTTGCACCCATATCACGGAAAGTATAACTGATGAGGTCTGTGGCAGATTGAAAACACTGCCCTCTGGTGTAGAATCACGAATATTCAAAGCCTTTGGGCCGGAGTACCGTCAAGTTGCACGAAAACTGTAGAGAGAAACACAGAAGGCGAGTTCCCATTCGGTGTCGAAGATTGGTTTTGTAATGAAAATAATCCTGGTTTGAGTTTTCCGTCGTCTCCTAGTTGGTACCTTCATAAGGTAAATTGTCATAGCTTTTGCTTATTAATTAAATTAAGTGAGAGTGAAAATATCATCTTTTGTACTTCTTCAACTTTTGAACGGGACAATATATCAAGGTCGGACAGAATCTGAGTAAAAAAGTAACATTTTCATTACTTTTTGGTAGAAGAAGCAATTATGTTACATCACTCGTCACCGAGAAGGTGCAGCCAACTTTTTTTTTTCAAAAAAGGTTGGTCTTCTGATACCTCGTTTGATAGATATTTCAATAATGTATCCAACGGTTTTGAATTTTTGAAAATCAGCTTTTTCTGAATAATTAGCAGTTTTCTATTCGTTCTAAGGATCTGCAAACAAAGGATAAATATCGTAATTAAAAAAAAACAATTAAGTTTATTCCAATAAATGTTTAGAATGTTCACCGTTCACTTCCTGACAATAATGAAGAAAATCTAAGTGTCATTTCTGGTAATCAAGCGGGCCATTTTAAGGGAGTTTGTCAATTATTCAAATCAGTAGACCTGCAGACGTAGTTCTTAGGAAAGCCTACTNATATGACGCCTCTAAATGTTTTTGAGGGGATACGTGACATCGGAGTATACGATAGACAGCTGCAGTTCTTTCCCAAACGTGTGGATAGAAAAAGAGGTGCTTACACCAAACTTATCCCAAGAACATTTCATAAAATTGGAAATAAATTTGTGAACATTCATTGGAATGAAATGAGTGAGTTTTGAAAAGTGATGCAACACTAGTGCCTCTATTATCAAAAAGCGATACCTTTTCAAATTAATTTTGTACGACCTTTGCATATTGTCTAGTTCGAAGGTAGTGAAAAGGGGGGACTATTTACGTCCACACTGTATATGTGGAATTCACTAATAAAAATCATTATACCAACTCCATCAATGATTTAATATGAAAACAGTCATTAATTTACATGCAACATCAACTATGATCAATATATTTACAAAATTTAATATAGAAAGTAAAGAATAACTCAGTCTTCAAAATATCTTGTGAAAAAATCTAAAGTTGACAACACAAAATTCATTGAATAATGAATTTTTATTCTAATCTGAAAGATGACAATTTGAAATTTATGCACAGTGAAAAATCCTATTACTTTTCGTTCTTTGAGCTATGAAGAAATAAATACCTTTCATCGTCAATATTTTCTTGTATTGCATGAAGTTGACAGATATCAATTAATCATGTGGTGTTTTCATGTTTTTAATTTGGTTAACACAGGTAGTGTTTTGACTTTACCTGTAAATTAGGTGTTATTGGAAATATCCAGTCTCGAAGAACCAAATTAAAATCCAATTTTCTTTCTGTCAAACTCTCATCTATTTTTTTCAACAACATCACAGCTAACTTATACATATTACCAAATATTTACAAAACATCAAATAAAATCATACAGAATGTAACGATTTTCAACTAAATAAAAGAAATAACAACATTCTCGCCTTCAGTAATTGTCCCATCAACAATTACTCATCTTTTCGTTCTGGTCGTGTACTGGCAATACACATAATCTGGAGATTGGTCTGCGGAAAATTATTTTCTTGGCTGTCATAACGACGGCAACACGTATTTTTCATCCTTTGCTGAATAAAGATGTACTATTTTTCCTTTGAGCCAACAGTTCCAAAGTGCATTAGGTTCATAGATAATCATCTATTTTGAGAGGATTTTGTTCATTGTGTCATTTGCTTCTTTTAATTAGTGATGGCACATACTCATGTGACCAATGTTGCCAGAATATATCGGCAATCTTCTGAGCTACCTTCCATTTCTTCAGGAGATGTGAATTTGTTTCTTCAGTCTTTGAACAAGGTAATGCCGCATATAACGGCCCAATCAACAAATGGTTTGGAGTCAGTTCATCAGAATCATTTGGATCAGTTGATATGTGCGTCAGTGGTCGGGAGTTCAAAATGTTCTCTATTTCTGCGAAGGCTGTCCTAAAGCCATATTCTTGGGAATATCTTTCTGCGAAGGCTGTCCTAAAGACATATTCTTGGGAATATCGTTCTCTTGAAATTTCTTTCATTTGTTTTTGATGGATTGTATCAAACGTTCCCATGCGCCACCCATATGCGATGCTAACGGTGGGTTGGATGTCCATTTAGCATTTTTCAGTGTGCAATATTTTTGAATTTCCTCTTGGTCCATATTCTGAAGATTTTCTGCCAGATCCGCTTCTGATTCTTTGAAGTTGGTTCCATTATCGCTAAAAATTTCTTCTGGGAAACCTCTTCTGCAACCAAATTTTCTGAATACATGAATAAATCCATTAGTGGTCATATCTTGGACTATTTCTAAGTGGACAGCTCTTGTAACCATGCAAGTAAATATTACACCATATCGTTTCTCGCGTGATCTTTTGACTGTTATTTCAATTGGTCCAAAATAGTCCACTACGGTTTTGATAAACGGCCTCACAGTGGGTTCGAATCGATAAATTGACAATTGTCCCATTAGAGGTATTTTTGGAGTACTTCTTTTGTTTCAGCAAATTTGGCAATTTGCCCAACAACTTCGAACTGCTTGGCGAATTTTGGGAAGGCAATATTCTTGAAGTAGATTATTGACAACTGTTTCTTGACCATGATGGTTCACGAGTTCATGGTGGTATTTGATGATTAATTTTGTGATTTTATGTTTGGCATTCAATATGACAGGCCTTTTGGTGTTTTCATTCACAAATGCATTATCAATTCTTTCATAACATTTTATCAGTCCTACGGTTTCATCAAATGAACAATCAAATGTGTACAATTTATTTGACGGCGTCAATTTTCCCTTTGTTTTGAGAATTAATATTTCTTCAGGGTATGATTCAAACTGTACCTTTTTCCATAAATGAATTTTTGCTCTGTCCAATTCCAGTACATCAAGTTCCCCATCTTTTCTGTTTTTTCTGCAATTATTCATGAATCTGAACATCCATGCGGTTGAACGTAGTAATTTTTGCAATTCTGAAAAATGTTTAACTTGTGGAGTTTGGATTTCACTAAGCACAGTCTGTACGCAAACAAAATCTTTCCTCATTTCTAATTCTGCTTGATCGTAACATTGCTTGATTGAACAATCTTTTCTGCAAACATCTTCTTTCGGCCAATATTCAAAATCTTTCCATAGAAAGTCAGGACCATCTATCCATCTGCTTTCAGCTGAGAAATTCATTTTACCATAACTTTTGGTTGCTTCATCTGCAACGTTCTGCTTTGACGGAACATACTTCCACTCAAAAACGTTGCTTAATTCTTGTATTTCTCCAAGGCGTTGTGCAACGAACATTTTAAATCGTATTGCTTCTGAATGTATCCAATGGAGGACGGTTTGTGAATCAGTCCAATAGAATGTGCTTGAAATATTGAGTTGCAGAGATTTGCTCAAATAAGAACCCAATCTAGCTCCCATCAATGCAGCCTGTAATTCCAGGCGGGGTATTGATAAAGGTTTCAGAGGCGATACTTGGGTTTTGGCTGTCAAGAAGCATTTTTTTTGTTCTCAACGAATGTAACCTACAGCAGCGTAGGCGTTCTCAGAAGAATCACAAAAAAATGTGAAGTTGAAGAGTACTTCTTTCCCTTTCCATCATGCAAAATTGTCGTGGAAGTTTGAAGTGATGAATATTTTTTGGTCGTCAATCCATTCTGTCCATTTCATGTACAAGTTATCGGAAATATCATCATCCCAGTCGATTTTACTTCGCCAGATATCTTCGAGAAGTATTTTACCTTGTAGTATGAAATTTGCTAGGAATCCTAGGAGATCGAAAATCCACATCACCACTTTCAAAACTTCTCTTTTAGATGGTTTTCGTCCAGTATCTAATAAACTTTTATCTATTTTATGGAAATTGATTTTGAAAGTGAATGTGTCGTTTTTAGGACCCCACCAGATACCTACTATTCTTTCGTTTGACGATTCGTTTTTATCACATTTTTTTTTTGCAATCAGCTAATAACCTATCATCTACATCCTTTAATATATTTGAATCATTGGCTATCCAGTTACAAATTTCAAAATTTCCTTTACTATGTACATATATTACATCATTTATAATATCTGCTGCTTCTTCTGCCGTATCTGCTCCTCCAAGATAGTCGTCCATGTAGTGAGCGTCGATTATATCCTCTGCTGCTTTCGGGTAGTACTGGCTGAAGTTTCGAGCGTTACTATTTTTTGCTTCTTGTGCTAAGCAGGGACTACAAGTTGAGTCGAAGAAAAAAAACGTTTATTTCATAAATATCTGGTTGTTTTGTCCTCTCCATTCCTCTGTATAGAATCCGTTGAGAGATTCGATCTTCTTTTCTCACCTTGACCCTAAGAAACATTTCCTTGATGTCAGAAGTGAAAGCAAACTTTTTTATGCGGAAGTTAAGGAGAATGTTTTGCAATGAATTATAAAGGTCAGGTCCAGTTAACAGAAAATCATTTAAACTTACCCCATTGGATCTCGCAGAAGCATCAAAAACAATTCTCAATTTGTTAGGTTTGTTTGGGTTAGTTATTCTAAAATGAGGAAGGAACCAAATTCTATCCAAATTACATTTGATCTCTTCAGAATCAATTTTAGAAATATAACCTTTATCTTCCATGTCCTGCATTTTCTCGATATATTTCTTTGCAAACGATTCGTCTCTATCCATTCTTCTTCTATCCATTCTCTTTAATGCATTGTCTCTACTATTTGGTAGAACCAGATCATCTGCTTTCCAAAGAGGACCTGTTTCATACTCATTTCCAACTCTTTTCATTGTTGTATCTAAAATGTGTTGAGCAAGTTGATCTTCTTTGGACATAGACTTTCCTACTTCTGTATAAGTCTCGATTTTCCACTGCTGCTTGACAAGATCATGTAGAATGTCGAGGTCGTCCTTCACCTTGCCATCTGTATGACAAACGAAATTTTTAGGTACAGTTTGATCATTATTCCTGAAATTACCATCTATGACCCATCCAAGAGGCGTTTTACTGGCTGCAGGCACATGCCAAGGTCTTGATATAACTTTTGTACTTACCAGTAATTGCCAATTATCTTGCCCAATCAAAATTTTTGATTGAGCGTCAACTAATGATTATTCTGTTCTTCCACTTGATTGTTTGTCCATTGTAATTGAAGAGGTTGTTTAGGACCTGTCAAATTCAATTCATCGGCAAAATCCTCGTTGATTAATGAAACTGTTATCATCGTCATCGTCAAGAAGGGCAAATGTTTCGACTAATTGTTTTCCTTCATAGACCACCACGGGTAAGATTTTGAGTAATACTCTTCTGTCTGTCAATATGTCAAAGTGCCTTATTAGGTTAGGAAGTTTTTGAGGTAATCTGTTTTTATAGAGGAGTTTGCGGTTATGGGATTTTGGCATATTGGGAAGAGAGGCTAATGGTATTCGACACTTGAGGCTTTATTGAATGGAACTGGCCGATACTTGATGAAAATCCATTGCAAAAGTTACTGATAAGATTTATTTTGATTTTCACAATAAATAGCTTACAAAACCGCGACATGTGTTTCCCTATAAAATAGTTTTCTTGAGAAGGTTTTGTGGAACTTTTATAGTTAAAATCGAAATAAATCTCATAGGAAAGTCTTAACGACTATGGACAAGCTGGTACACAAGATATCTTTTTTGAGGAAAGAGCCGTCATTTCAGATACCCGAAAAAGAACTGTGTAATAAAAGCAATTAATGGTCTTATATAACTTTCAAAACATATTTTTTGCACATTCAGGTTAGAATCGTGGTAGATATGACAATTCCGATATCGAATCTAGATTTAGCCCTAGAAGAGCATTCTGCCTTCTGATTTGCAAAGTCTCACATTTTTGCAAAATTATGATATTTCCTGAGACTGAAGTTATAACATGAAAAAATATTAATTACATCATTATATTCATACATGTTCTATGTTCATATCTGTACATATTAATATAAAAAATCAATAGCAATATATTTGGGATATCGTGAAAAAATATATTTCTTGATGTAACTAAGTATTTCGTTGAGTTAATTAATGTGTCTGAGGTTGCATCACTTCGCAATGAGGGGTGGACACTTTTTATATGAAAAATACACTGATTAATAATCTGAGTTTCTGTAGGAGAAACTGCATTCTTCCCTAGGTCTATAAACTATTTTTTATACTACACTATCCGATGGTTGGGTACAATATATTATCTTTCGTTTGTTACAAATGAGTAGGTATATGAAGGACGTCTACAAACACTTTTCCACATACTGGATCAATATATGAAGATTTGAATGAAATGAAATAACAGAAAAATACATACACTGTATAACGTAGTTGTGACTTATGAAATCTTAGGAGTTATAACTTGTGAACAGTACTAGTTGTATAACATAAAATTAGCCATAAAACTGAAGTTGCCATTCAACAGTAAATGCAAGTTGTACAAACATAAATATTATGAGTGAGATGATATACTCAGTGCCAAAAAACTCTGAAGTACTTTAAGAAATTATGAATGATTGGTTGATAAAACACAAGATACAACTAAACTATAGAGATTCGTAATTTTTATTAAGCCTGAATTAGCATTCTGATTCAGAATTGAATAATTTTTGAAAATGGATCTTTGGAATGGACATGAATAGCCCCCCTTCACCCATGGCTCCAAGAAATTGTGAACAACAATCAAGATTAATTCAAAAATATATTTTTTTCCAACAAGATGATGCACCCCCAAATATTTTGGCCTGTAAGGGGTTGGTTAGATCAGATATATCCAGGCATGTGGATTTTCTCGAATGATTTTTCTATGTATAAGATGAATAATGACGGGGTTGACATCAACAGTTATCTTTTTCAAAAGAAGTTACTGATTTATTTCTCTTTCCAATGATGATAATTGTAGAGAAAAAATTATTTCTTCAATTGGCACTATACAGAAACTGTGTTACACGGAAATTTTTGCTTTACATATACCTATGATGTCTAAATTTTCACAAATATCTCCGAAAGTAACGGGAATTCACAATTTTTTTTTCTAATTTTACCGACTTTGTATCACTCACGGTTTCTGATCTTGTCATGATGACTCTCCTTATCTTGAAAATACAGTATATATGAAAACTTGCCAGGAAACAAATATATCGAGGAATTGAGAGAAAAGCTAAAAATGCTTTGCGAACAAATTGATGTCTGTTTCATTTATTCTATTGCTAATTGAGCAGAAGTTAACCACTATGCAGATGTGGTTCAGAAATAAATGAACACACTGGGTGTTCCTGAAATAGCATTATTCGCCTGCAAGTTGCTTGATCTAGATGTAATTTTTACCAAATAAAAAACAGCTGAGAATCATTCAATGCCTAACAGGAAAAAAGTGCTACTTTAAAGAAATGAACTTTAAACTTTCATGCCAGTCTCGGATATACCTACACGGTAGGTTGAATGGGCTGACGCCTATCAGAAAACAACTACTCCCCTGGCTAATACCACGAAGGGTGTTGGATTATATCCGACAGGCGTCAGTGCAGGAATCTTCACAGAAAATTTCCTGCCTATGCAATTGGCAATACAACTGAAAGAGTCGATCTTCAATTTTGGAACGGGTACACTTGCAGACCGGTTTCGGGGTCAAAAGCCACTCGTCAGTGCAAGATAGTGGCTATCATCGATCTAAAGTCAATGACATTCCATAATTGAAAATCGGAATTCTTTCAGAGTATTTCATTCCTCTTCCTAAGTTGTATATCAACGGAAGATACCCTTTCCGTTGATAGACATCCATCTTCCAGTTGGAACTATCCAATATCATAAGATGCAAGAAACAATAATCTGAGTCCTCAAAGAGATGAAAGCATTAATATTCGTACAGACAGCCATGACACTCCCAGGAACATTGATGAGTGACATCGTGACAGGATTGGAAATGCCAGAAAAAATGTAGTCTATGTTAAGTGACATTACATTCAAGAATCTTAAAAAAGGATCCTAACCAACTGTTGATGTATCAAAATCATTGATAAGGAACCAAATCAGATACCTTAAGAGAGTGAGACTGCATACGCAGAACTTAACTGCAGATAGTGCCCCAAAGGAAAAGTTCGTCATATCTATACCAATATGCGGCATTGGATTAAAAGGAAAACAATTCATGAACAACCAAAATTAGGAAAACAAAGAACTTTTATAGACGAAGAACTTTTACAGAAAATGTGTGTGGGTGTCTTGAAAAGATGGAAAAATACGCAATAAGTCAATGAGGCTGCAGCAACCTCCGGAACAAACTTTCACCAGCTGAAATATGCTACGACAGCGCAGAGTTGATTATTCGCTAAAGTATGTTCTTCCTGGTATTGCTGGTAAACATTATTCATCATTGCCAACGTTTTACGTATTTTCAGCAGTAATCTCTCACCCTTTTATACTTGATGTACAAACTTGCCGAATAACTATTGAAAAAGTATTTTTTTTGTTCAATCGATTCATGGACGTTTCTATGGAAGAAGGTTTTATTATGTCCTACAATCGACCTCGTTTCACTCTTATTTTGGCTCCCGCGGTTTCAATTAACAATCTAAGTTAGGTATTAAGTAACATATTTTTAGTGAGATTTTAAGCTTTGGTTGTTTTAATATGAACTGTAGTATTGAGTATATTTTTTTAAATTCTACAGATATACGCGGTACATGTGTAATGTAGATGTATATGCTCCAGTCCGTCTAGTTAGATACTCGGCGATAAGTAGTGAAAATCGAAAATCCCACATTAGAAATCGAACTAACGTACAAAACGAACCATTCGTGCTGAGTAACCGGCTTCCATCCCGTCGTTATTAACCAGTGTGCGTTGTTGTATACGAAATGATGGCAGGACTTATTTCCACGCATCCCAGCAAAAATTACAAAAATTATTCGCAAAATTCCACCCCAGAGCAGAAAGTGAATATTGATATTACAAGTTTCGTTCCTGATAGTGGTATCTGAAAAAGCACCACTTGTGTTTCTGTATATAACATGAGAGTATTACTCGAGGGAAATTTTCAAAGTACTTTCTTTGTCTTTCACAGTAATTCAGATGAAAACTATCAAAATTCATCGCAAAACCGTATGTTCTGTCTTATTTCAGTTTCATTGTATATTATAGAAGGTCATTTTCACCTACGAATTATATAATATTAATTATACGATAACTGTTTATTCCTTCAAAATGACTCCGTATGATTTACGTGATATATGTTTCAGAATGTTATGTCAGACTCATCATATACTTTAGATACAGATATTGAATGAGTATAACGTAGGTACATCCTAAATACGTATTTCAGTTGAGGGTTTGTTACATAAAATTATCCTGAAATTTGACAGGGAATCTAGAAACAGAATATAGGACCTTATAGAATGAGGGATGTGACGTCAAATAATGAAAGGTAATTCCCATTCACATACCCAAATCATAAAAAAATGAAACTTCAATTTCATTTGGTTCTTCATATATTTTTAGTTAAGACCCTAACCTGATTAGAAAACAGCTCACAAAGGTGAATTTGTGTAAAAAAATCGAACCCGAGTACCAACCATAGGATAGTTACAAAAGTCAGAAACGTGCATGTTAGCTATTTCATTAATTTGAGAAGATCACTTGAAGATATGGCTGATGGAGATCAGATAAAAAAGATACTTTTTAATTCATCAAAAAGACGTAAGAAGTCAGAAAGACTTGACTTTGAGGTCAAGAACAATAAAAAAGACAAGTTCTACTGCAATATTGTAAGATATTGGTTATGATGAAGATCTTCGAATATATCATTTCGTGGTCATTATATTCATCAGTTCTTTCTTTCAATTATGTCATTGTGTAAATCGGTGATACAACTCTCAATCGTTTGTACCTTGTCTGGTACGTACTTTTTTGAATACGAAATTCGATCTCAGAAAATTATTTGCTAACTATAGTATTCCCTTCTTCTGATTTCCTTCATATAAGTTGTAAGCTCGTCTTCAATGGCACCAGTTTCAATATCTTTCAAGCTGCTGTTGCTTATACAAGGTTTGTGAATTTCATTGCACCTGGAAGTAAAAGTATTATTTAATAGAAATATGATTTGCATAACTAGGTAGTTGAAAATTATGTGACGTAAAATTGGAAACTTATTCTCAATAATGAATCATATGACATGAAATTTGTCAATTTTCTGTATTTGAGATAAAGTTGTTGATATAAATCGCTTCATCATTTCTTAAATTTCAATTATTCACATGATTGAACACAAAAATGTATCAATTCATCATTATGAGATAATATGTAGTATGGACGTGAAAGGTTTCCACCTTCAACTTTTAAACAGGAAATCAGGTTGGACAAAAATTTACAGAAAAAAAACCATCATTTCAAGTTTTTTTTTTAAGGAAAGATAGTGTTGGATCACTCTTCGCCGAGAGGGTGCTGCAAACTTTTTTTATCGGAAAGACAGGCCTTGTGATGATTCGCTTTATGAGGTGATTCATGTTTGAAATTCGAATCAGTTATTACCAGTTTTCTATTTGCTGCAAACTATAAATATCATATTTTCAGGAAAACATGTATTCAATAATCACTCCAGTTTATACCAATAACATATTCAGTTCTTGACAAATGAAACATGTTTATAATCATTTCATAATTATGAAATCTTCCTAGGCTAATTTCATTGCAAGCACCCCTTTTGTTGAAATAAACGACGGCGACAGTTGATCACAAAATTAAACTTTTACGGTCGGGGATAACTGTGTGGAAGCTATTTTCCATTTTTTGGCAGTGGTCGGCAGGTTTTTGTGCCTGACGTTTCGTCTACTACTGCGACCGATATTATCAAAGGCGTTGTGATAACGGTCGCGCTGCCCAAGTTGGTGCTCGAGTTGTTGTTTCCGTTGTTCAGCAACAACTACTATTCTGATATTTGACTCTGGTTTCATATTATTACTAGTGGACGTGGCTTGGTTTCTCTTAATTTGATTACCTGACCGTGTTTTTGTAACTTTGAATCTGCGGCTGACATTATCAAAGGCGTTGTGATAACGGTCGCGCTGCCCAAGTTGGTGCTCGAGTTGTTGTTCCCGTTGTTCAGCTACAACTACGATTCTGATATTTGACTCTGGTTTCATATTATTACTAGTGGACGTGGCTTGTTTTCTCTTAATTTGATTACCTGACCGTGTTTTTGTAACTTTGAAGATTGTTAGCCAGATTTTATTGATGTTCATTTCCTTTTCGTTTCTATTGAAATTATACCTGTGTTTCTGTCTATATACTTATCAGGACATCCATACCGACGACCACTTCTAGAACACTTGATGGAAATTCTACCATTGTCATCAGAATTGATATCGTTCACTTCGATATTATCACATTCAGGGGATGATGTCTTGCTACTGACTGCTGGGTTACTCAGCTTCCTGAAACTGCTATCGGGTCTAGGATTGTCCACCTCTTGACTCATAGGACCCGTGACTAAAGCATGTTTGAAAGATAACACACTATATTTCGGTTGATCTTCGCATTATTAAGGATACATTCTTCGAATGGGTCCCATCAAACATTTGCTAATGTAATTTATTACATGAATTTTTTCATCTGTTCCAGTGATTAGTTTTCTGACACGCCATGGTGGCCAATCCAAACGTTTACGTTTATCATCACTAGAAAGAACAACTCGTCGGCATGGTTTGACCCAAATACTATGAAACATCTGTTCTCAGCTTCTATTTATAATTGCTGATGTGACTAAGAGATGTTTCATATACACCATTACAGTTGAATATTCTGTACTAATTCTGTTCTCACAAGAACGTGGCTGAGATAGTTGCAGCTAGGCCTGCTGGGTCATATGCCATGTATGTAGGTGTTCTTAAATCTTCATACTAAACTTCGTCCCAGTACTTTCCAGAATTTAAAGAACAACTACTTCATAATTCCAACGAGGCTATTTCAGAATAAATAGAACTGCTCAATTTTTTCTAGCACTTACTTGCAGTCAACCGAAACTGGGAATCCTCAATACCTGAATAATTGAAAAAATGAAGATGAATAAACATTACGATTTAGAGTTTTATATTGAAATGGAATCTCATTTTGAATATTTTTAGATATTCGACTAGTTTCCCGGTCGCCATATGGATCGGGAATATCGCCAAAGACTTTAAGGTTAGTTACTCTCATTGTTGAGTTGGTTAATGGAAAAAAGAGTCAATACTTAACTATGTGAATATTATGAAGAAAATATGTGATGTCTTCTGAAGAAAGAAGAGAATAAACTTGAGATACCAAAATTATAATAGAACAATCACTCCAAGATATGAGTGATAAATTTTTCGATTATGTCCGGTCCTGACAACTTTGGTGAAATGAAAATGTTTCAACAGATGCATTGGTCTGGTTATCACTGGCATGATAAATGAATAATTTTTTTTTGTGTTAGGAAATGGCTATGTTCAATATCCTGAGAATAATGACGAATGAAGGTCAAAAATTCAGGTATCTTGCTATTTGTATAATCTGTTCGTCATCATCATTAATAATCTTATATAACTGTTTGATAAGAATTCAAATAAATTCACCTCTCAACTATTTCCTTTTCAGTACTTTCATCAGTCTTTTCAATATCTATAACCTCCTGCTCTTTCACAGGAGAAGAACAGTAAGAAGACAATCTTTTGCTATCATCCAGAGTCTTTTTGGCGATACATTGGAAAAATTGAAGAAATTTCATGAACGTAGTCTGAGTCGGATTTCCCACGTGAACAGATAGATAAATCGGACTCTCTAAATTGTGGGCGGCTTGTAAATTCTGCAATTCTACCGCTGGAATTGTTTGCTTGGAATTGTTTCTTTCCATATCTTCTCTTGTTGATGTTGAAGTTCTGTACCTACAAGAAAAATGCAACATTAATCTCTTCAGCTTTCTCCCTTATTTTAAGAAATGTTATGAATATCTTTGGTTGATGAATTTACTAGCTTAGTTTGAGGATAATTATGGAAGTTTATCATTATATTATATATTTACACAATGAGTGCGATAAAAGTACAATACTGAATTTGAAAATTTACTAGATGTGTTTGTTAGTGTAGTTTAAAAGTGTAATTTCATTATTCGTTGCACACTGACACCCAAAGTTTGTGAATGTTCAACAACAGTGTTACAGTGTTACAGCGGTTTCAGTAGTTTTTCATTCTACTACTTGAGAACCGTCTCGGGAAAACACTGCAACCTCACGGGCTTACTGCGTTATTCCCCCCATCTTTTTCATGACACCCATTCAAATAATCTTGTGCCCTGTACTGGTTTGTACAGGTCCCTTGCTGGATGAAGAGTAGGGAGGGTGAGTGTAGGCCCAGAGCCACATGTGACCCATTGTACATTCTCCCGAGGAGTTGTCCTCCTAGGTCTTCGTCTATCCTGTCCTTTCCACGAAGGTGGACAGGTTACTAGGAGACATCTCCTTTATATCGGCAGGTGTAGGCCAAGATTCGCCGAACACACACTCTCTTATTGACGATAACTCCGGACACTCGCATAGGACATGCTTGACTGTTTCATCTTCCTGTTCACACATCCTGCATAGAGGTGTGTCCACTAGCCCTGTATAATGGAGGTATTTCCTTAGTTGATAGTGGCCAGTCAGAAATGCTACTGTTATGCGTAGGTTTTTTCTAGTCATCGCCAGATATTTCGTCGGCGCTAGCTTTCCAGGGTCGCCCAGGCGACCAGGTGATACCTTTTGCAGACATACAATCAGTTATGCCGGAATGATCTATTTCTTTGATCGCATGATGTATTTCTTTTGTTGTACTTCTCCTACTGTTATACGTAGGTTTTTTCTAGTCATCGCCAGATATTTCGTCGGCGCCAGCTTTCCAGGGTCGCCCAGGCGATCCTAGCAAGATTACATCCTTTGATTCCATCCCATCTCTTTAGGGATTGAGCATGGGTGTGACGTTTGGCTAGTTCCGCAATTGTCGAAGTCATCAGGCCGTAGGTGTCACTGGGTCCTAAAATTCTTAGTCCAGCCGTTATCTTGGCTAAAGAGTCGGCAATTCGATTACCTTTACTCATATCGTGCCCTTCAACCCACCCCAGGATAATGTTATTATCTACCGAGGCTTTGGCTAAATCTTGGTGGCACTCTAGCACTCTAGGTAACAGGTTGTCTCTTCAAGGCTAATAGGGCTTGTTTACTATCAGTGCAGATTGTTATGTTTTTGCCAGAAATTCCTTTCCTGGTTATTTTTTTGTGGCGATTGAGATACCAGCCAGTTCTGTTTGAAACACGCTGATATTTGTTTCCATACCCAACGTAATTCTTAGGCTTAGTGATCTGGAGTACACTTCACATCGTGAGCCTTTTGCTGCATGTATATCATATTCTTTTGGATATAATTTGGGGTGTCCATGAATTGTTTGCCTACTGTAATCCATTCTCACATTCGCATAAAATATGACGAGCTGTTTCCATCCCTTTATTGCATTACCCGCAGTTGAGTTTTCCGTTGTATCGCCCTATTTTGTTCAGGTGCCCTCTCAATGGACAGTGCACGTGATTAGCCTTGTAATTGTTTTCTGCCGATCCTCGCTTCGTTGAAACAATTTTTCAGTTCTCTTCACGAATGGTTTTAGAGAATTCTCCCTATTTTTTCCCAGGTGGTAAAGAAGATGCAGTACCTCTCCAGTGGGAACAACCTCCCTCTGAGGACAACCCCTCGCTATCGTTGCCATTACTGTCTCACCCACATTCCACATCCACCTTATGTGGTCGATTCATTTTATCTTCGATGCCTGGATGATTGATTCGTATTATCAAATGCACTCTCTTCATTAAAGTTAGTATTTCAAAATTCAATATATCAGAATCGACTGGCCTTCAATTTTTTTTCTACTTATTTTACTACTCCTTTACGTGTTATTACTATGTTATTTTGAATACAAAAATAGTCTTTTTTGCATGGCTCTTCGTTTCTTACCAATCCTTTAGCAGCTTAGAATGATTCAAACTCAATGTTTATTCTGTTTTCATTTGTAAATTTTTCTCGTCGAACATAGCTAGCAGGTTTAGGAAGTTATAGAATATGTGGTGGTACCAAAAAAAATCCATAATGTATTGACACTTTATTGTGAGATTCTCATCGGACACTTTTCAAAACCTCTACACGTGTTTTGCTTTTCAAAAGCTTTCATTATGTTGTTCGCTTTTTGAATAATTTGTTGGGAAATGAGTGAAATGAAGCAGTATTATTTTTAATGTGGGGTGTTCCAAAAGTGATAATCCAAGTATACTATTACATATGATTTTCTGATTCATTCGGCCGTTCCTTGATGAAGATCCATAGTAATTCATATCAGTTTGTGGAGATCAAATCGTGAGGTGTAGTTTTTGAAATGTTACATATGATTCCCAAGGTAAGGACAATTCGTAAAATATTTAATAAATGATACAGGCCATGAAGAAATTAATAATACTCAGAAGAAAAAGTGCATTTCAATATCAACGACATAATTTAAATTTGTAAATGAATTCATGAGAACAAAGGATACGTATGATTTATCAAAAAATTAACCGTAATTCCTGTCTCATTATTGACCAATCTATACAGTGCAACTTCTGAATGGGATTTATAAAAAACGTTTTAAGAGCCAACACATTCTCCGTCTCGCTTCCTCTACCTCTAATTTAAATATATTCGTTACTGAATTGAATTCCGAGGCTGACGTGATAACATCAACTACTCGAATTCTCCCATCAGGTTCAGGATATATGCTGGTTATTCTGCCCAACTATATCTAGAGACTCGATCATCAACCAATATGACGATATCATTCAATGCTATTGGTTTATTATCATTTGCTTCGCGGGTAGATTGAAGACTCTGATCATGGAAAACTTTGCCAATAGTTCTCTTTACTGTTCCAATCAATCTCTACCAAGCTTCACCCATGTTAGGTGAAGAAGGAGGGATTAATTTAAAAGTGATACCTCTTGCAGACATACAATCAGTTATGCCGGAATGATCTATTTCTTTGATCGCATGATGTATTTCTTTTGTTGTACTTCCCAGATTCGTCTCATTATCTCAGAAAACACGTAAGGTTATCCTCTGCTTGTTGGCATTCTCAATATTACTCGAACGGTCGAGTCGGTATTGAAGCTATGAGCTATATCGAGATGGATGGCTCTCACCACAAAGCAGGTGAAAATTACTCCTCATCTTTTCTTTTTTTTTTCCAATTTTCAGGTTTTTTCAAAAGTAGTCCATTTTCATATTCTCTTTTTAATCGTTTTTCTCGTATTTGTCCCATCATTAGCGTGGTTTACTCCTTTCAAATATGTATCTGAGGCATCTGAAAAATGCTATGAAGAAATTTCTCATGTTAATGCTGAATAAGTAATTTTATGAAGTCGTACTTTGGAGTCAATATAGCTGGTTGACAAACATCTCTTGACAATCATTTCGACAAATTTGTTCGGCCAGTCAGAACCATAATTCCATATATTTGTTCTGGATAAAGATTGGAAAGTTTACTACTTCCACTAGAAGGTTTTCCATTCTTAAGGCAGAATATCTTTGGGGGTGATAACCATTCGGAGAATATTTTTGCACGCGGTAAACATTTGTCGTAGTTCCTAATGATCAGACATGTTCCAAACTTATTTTGTTTCAATTCAACATCCATTTCAAGGAACTTTGGCACGACCAAAGTTACTTGGACTGTCTGAGAAAGTGAAGCCCAGAAAACCATTGGTCTGAAATTATTTTCTCTCCTGTCATTCATCTTTTAGTTTCATCTACAATGTTATATTCAGTTGGACCAATTCTTCAACTTCCGTTCGTTCTTGCATTTCTCCTATTCACTGGGATACGAACGGTTTTTAGTTTTTTCTATCCCCTCTTATGCAGTTCAAAACACATCTTGAGTCAAGTCAGAAAAATATTCGATTGATAGAAATTTCGTTTTTTTATCAGCTTAGAAAGCCGACTTGCCACGACCGCTACATGAAGTTCCAACGTAGGTATAGATAATGGTTTCAACAGAGTAACTCTAGTTACTCTTCAGTTTCTTCAACTCCAACAAGTCGAAGATATACTGTTGCAGCAAACACCTTCTCACTGCTATTGCAAAATGTGTGGAGTTCGGTAGTCATAGCTAAAAGTAAAAAGTAACTGTACTGTCTGTACATTTTTATTTCTGTTCTTCTAGATTTTTCTAGGAAATTTGTAGGTTTTTTGGCAAAACATCTTACCAGTAGATTCCAGATCGCCATATGCCCTGCATTCGAATATTTTCCCTCACAGTGAAAAGAAAGAACAAACCTAGCAGATCAAAAAAAAACATCAGAGCCCTCAGAATGGTTCTTTTCGTACGAGTGGCTTTGCAAATCGTGGAACTTTTTAATCTAAGTGAAAAATTATTATTCTCAGCATCCCACCGCATGTTTAACATTCGGTATGAAAGAGTTGCGTCAGTTTTCGTAGTTCGAGATAATTGGGAATTTGTTATCCAATCTATTGATTTATAACCACATAGCCAGCAAGTTTTTGAATCTGCGTACTTCCAAAATAATTTGTAGGGATTACTTTTCTGTGTTTCCAGAATCCAGATAATTAATGATAATTGTTTTCACATATGAATCTGAGGCGACTTTTTCGGTATTGCAATTTTAACGAATTGGACAAATACAGCACATGTTGCCCCGAATGTCATGACAATAACTAATGGAGAAGTTCATACACGTGTAGATAGGGCAAACTAATCAGTTTATCCTGATAAGTAGCTATATAAATTTCTACAGTGGGGCATATAACATTTGCGAGTTATATTTATCTTCTTCAATCAGTTTCCCAATGTATACTTTTCCTTTATAATCTTCAATTTTTTGACAATACTTTCTGGAAAAATTTTTGTTTGAGTCTTCGAAATGCTCAACGTTTATTTTATGGCAAGGTTATATCATCTCTTTTCCATGATAATCCAATTTTGTAATTTTGTCCAGTGTATTCGATTGCATTATTCATCAAATTAGAAGTTCTCCAACTTTCCTAAAAGAGTTCATCGGTTGTTATTAGAGTGCTAAAAGTTTTTGCCGCATGGTCACTTGCGTAGTCACATTTCCACTTTTTCACTGAAGACAGGGACTCTTTAACACCAGTGAGTCCATGTATAAATATGATCTTGATTGGGTGGTGGAATAACGTGAGCTAAACTCCACCAAGATAAAAAAAAGACCATTTATTATTATTATTATTTTTTTCCGAAGTATGCGCTGGTCAGGCCCTATCCCCCGAAGCTCCGATACATTCGGGAGGGAGCGCCAGCATTATCAACCAACGATAACTTACCCCACACCGTGGGGTAAGTGATCATTGGGTCCGAGAAGCATATGTCCTGACCAACGCAGTGAACCAAGAATGACAGCCTTCTGTCATTCGAAAGTAGAGAGTGCATCATTCCACCAAGGACTCCAATAATCAGAACAACCATCTTGACAGAGTGGTCTGGATAGAGCCCGCGGAGTTCGAAGAGAAAATTTCGATATTTTATCTGATTTTCCTCCTTTTTTCGGACAATATTCGTCTCGCCAGGAGCTGAAAACTCCATGACAAATATTGTCTTGCTCTGGTGGTCAAGAAGGACTACATCAGGCCCATTAGTTTGTATGAGCCGGAGAGTGGGGAATGAATAGTTCCAATAAATTTGGCACTTTTCGTTATTATTATTATTATTTCGTGAATCATGGTGTCAATTATATATTCAGGTCGACCAAACCGGTTATCCAAAGTAGAAATGACATTGTACAAATTTTCAGCCTTTAACAACATTCCAACAATTGTGGATTCAGCCTTTACTTTGAGATATCCTTGCTATTTCAACATAATTTTTTCATTGCAATAATCACAAAGTTTGTGAATATTTTTGAATGACTTATAAAACAAGAGCCAGTCTTGAGGGTTTCCATCCAGGTTTCCTCGTTGTTTTTGCTAATGCCTCAAGAAAGTTGGCACTTAAATGACTGTTTTTTCAAACTCGCCATTTGAAGTTTCCAGAATTTGAGAACGATTTGCATTGCCAAATTGGTCGGGCCAAAAATAATCCAATTTTAGTCAAGAAGGAACGTTATTCACTTTTTACTTTTCTTCAACTAGTGACAGACTAAATTAATATGAAGAAACATTTAAACATACAGGATGATCAATATCAATTGAAAATCCACATTATTGGTCGAATGTCGGAAATTTGTATAAAAAATCTACACATATGAGTCGTTAAACCAGTGTACAGGCAGCTTAACGGAAACTCGGGCTTTCGCTTTCGTCCAGATCAGTAAGACAACACACAACGAAATGTATCTACCATACTCATTGCTCTACACTCAGTAACAGGTAACGGTTGGTCTTCCCAGCATTTTTTGAGACACAAGACCGGTTGTCACTGTCGAGTGAATCAAACGAAACGTCCTTTTTCATTCAATCTCTTTACTGATGGAAATGAAATGTGAATTATCATTTGTTCTTACTTTCTTCCATGATGACCGGTGTATGAATCTTGGGAATTGTTCTTCTGAGACATATTAGTCTGTACGGTGTGATCGTGACTGCCTGAGTCTGTAGAATCTGGACCCCGAATATTACATCTGGATAATGCTGAATACGATCTTTGTGGCCTACCGTGGTGGATATGATTGAAGCCACACCAACATGAAAAAGTTTCCTGCAACAAAGTGTACGTACTACAGAAAAGTACTTTCACGGAATAACAGACAATATCATTTATTGAGGTAGTTTCAAATTGATTTATATGCCCATAATAATTAAGAATGTAGTTAGTTTGTTTCAACAGATACTTTCGGTTTCTTACAAAACTAAAGAATTTCAAGATAACGAACAGAACCTACTAACAAATCAATAGGGTGAATTGTATCTTCTGAAAAGAATACTATCAAAATGAAATTAATCGCCCTCATATATAAGATATTAAATCTATCGGAAAGAGAGCATTGTCAGATAGTTCATAATCATAGTTCTGATTGGTGTAGTTCAGAGGTTCTCAAGTTTTTCTCTCCTAGACCTCTCTGGGTTTCGAAGGATCCTATATTTCTACCATATTCTAACCAAACTGATAAAAAAAATAAAAAGATTAGATCTAATGATGAAAATTTGCATCGAAGCGGATTTCCAACACGAAATTGGGAGTGATGGAAATAAAAAAAAATATTTTCTTGTGTTTAATTTTTTAAAATAATAAGAATACATACTTCATAGGATTACAATTAAACTTAGATACCGTATCGTACTAACAGTTAATAATCAATATTTGACTGTAGTTTTGTAAGGAATAACTGCAAATCTCCCGTTCTATGATGCCAAGAGTTGCATCTGCTACCTCCAAAAAAAAATTTGTGAATGGATATCGATTCACCTTTGGTATTCATCTTTTTTGTTATTATTGAAATTATTTTTCTCTAGTAATTCCCTGAGGTTTTGTAAGGTCTGTGGAATTGGGACGCTAGGAAATAAGGAACTAACATCAAGAGAGACCAAAATCTCACCTTCTTGCAAAACCATGTTTTTTGTATGATGTATGTACTCTAAAGAGTTTTTATACCAAAACCTGGTTCCGCAATAGACAAGCTTTCAAATTCCTTAGTGCTATTTGGTAGGTAGGAGATCTAATAGCTGACAGATAAATTTTTGGGAGGCAATATAGTTTTGACACCGTTTGAAAGCCGACAAAGGTAACAAAGTATTAATTCTGGATAAATCGAACTACTACAAAAGGGTCAATACTATCAGTACTAACGGACCGTAGGTATGCGAAATTGTCAGGAACCCGTTACCACTAATTTGTGTATGAAATAAAACCGGTTCCAGGTAGCAGGTTGCTTTTATGAACAATAGGAGGGAACGTCTATGGGTAACCCCTTGTCCCCCTACCTAGTAATCCTGTTCATGAGCAGATTCGAAATGGAAACCAAAGACAATTCAAAGTATTTTCCTAGGATATGGCTAAGGTATATGGATGATATTTTCGCGATATTCGATAACAAAAAATCGAATGCTGAGAACTTTGTTTCCTTTTCAAATAATAGATTTCTATCAATAAAATTCACGTATGAGTTGGAAAATAAAGAACAACTTTCATTTCTTGACGTTGTGGTAATGAGGAGCCAAGATAGAGAGTAAGAATACGATTTATTTAGAAAGGAAACAAGCACGTACATATATATTCCTGACAGTTCACATCACTGTAGACAGCACAAACGTGCTGGGTTGAATTTTCTAGTCCATCGTCTTTTGACTTTTCCCCTAACACATGAGAGGTTCACAAAAGAAAAATATACAATACAGTTAATAACAGATACTAACGTTTCTCGAGGGTTATTGTAGATGACATAATAAGGAAGAAGTTTAGGTTAAGAATGAACGAAATCTCGACTTTTAGAAAGGACAAAAATCAAGATAAATATATCTCAGTTCCATACCACCAATACACGAAGAACTTTGGAAAGATTTTCAAGGAACAAGGTATGAAGGTGGTTTTTAAAACAAGTCAAACACTACAGAGCCTTTTAGGAAGTCCAAAAGACAAATCCGAAAATTTGGAAAATTCTGGAATTTACGAAATTCAATGTAAGGACTGCCATGCAAAATATTATGGACAGACAAAAAGATCTATTAAAGTAAGATATAAGGAACACTTAGCACACTTAAAATATGGAAGACCTGAAAAATCAGCAGTCGCCCATCATGTTTTGCAACAAAACCATTCCATAGATTTCAGTTCATTAAGATTAGTGGACAGGTTAACAACAACAGACATATCGATGCCTATGAGAGTGTAGAAATAAGTAAACATAATAATATTATGAATAACGATGGTGGACCAATACCTAATAGTATACTTTACAGAGTGTAACTAAATAAGTGTGAAACATTCAAGGAGGTGATTCCTCATCGAAAAAAAAAAAGATTTTTCACATAAAGAAATTTCATTGTTGTATCCCTTGTTAAGATGCAGCCCCTTAAAGGGGGTACATAAAATGTGTATAACAATTTTTTTCACAAGCACTAAAAAAGTTACAATATTGAAATTAACCTGACGTTTTGTAATACCAATTATTAGTTTGATGTTGGATTCTCAATCAATAATGAGCAGCATGGATTTGTAAAACATCGTTCCATTGAAACCATTTCATTCATCTATACTGAATATCTCTTGAAGAACATGGACATGTTGATGCCATGCAAGGCATTCGACAAGATAGATCATGAAACTCTACTCGACAAACTGGCAGAAATCGGTATACACGGTGATCTGCTAATATAATATGGTTTCAGTCGTTTATTACGATTAGGTCTCAGGCAGTCACTTTGGGAAAGTTCAGTTCTAGATTCATTAACATTACTTTCGTAGTTCCTCAGGGCTCCCATCTGGGGTCTCTCCTCTTCAACATTTATATTGAAGATATATCTAGTTGTTTCTCATACTGCGATTTTTTTATGTATGCTGACGACTTGAAAGTATTACATACTGCGACATGTACCAACGATTTACTCCTCATACAAAACGATATTGATAATATTGTAAAATAATGCGAAAAAAACTCTCTATCCCTCAATCCTAAAAAAATCCACTCTATCACGTTTTCAAGAAACAAAAATATTCAATAATAATAATAAGATGCCTTTATTCATCATATTCAACGGTTTACAAATGCAAGTTCAACAAGAATGATGAATGGGCGGGGTTCAGCTAATAAAACTGCTTTTAAACCCAACGTTGGACGTACATACTTAATCTATAAGATCACAAAAACCTTCAGTATTAATATATCTGTATTAGTATTTACCACCACCAACACCACATAAACAGGTAGCAGCTAAAGAAAACATCTGAAGTCAAGGACTTGAGAGTATTATATCACTAAACTATTATTTGACATGCATATTAACTATATTATAAAAAAACCTAACAAAGCTCTTGGATTCTTCATCAGGACTTGTCACAACTTCAGCCACTTTACATGGCTCATGCAAATAGTCACTCAGTTTTACTTCAGTTATATGGAACCCCCTGTATAAAATTAGTGTGTGTCTTGGGACGCGCGACAGAAGTGATAACTCAAACTAATAATCCAATCATTTTAGGTTTGTTAAACCTCAATCTGCGGAAAAATTCCCACTGAGCTGAATTTTGGTATACACCTTCATTATGGCGTTTTAATTGAGATGTGAAAAATCGACATTGATATAGTGTCAGCTAAAAAAGTTATAAGGGTCGAAAGGTCACGAAAATCAGTTTTTCGCGAATATCTCGCGACCTATGGCTCAGAGGTCAATAAAGGTCAGTATAAAAATTATTCCTCATACGATTATCTACAAAAAATGTATTATTCATTTTTCTGTGAAGTCAACCGTTTTCAGACTAGAGCGCTGAGAAAGCGAGTAGAATGCAATTACATAGGGTATTGTATACCGTATACATATAAGGCCTCAACTCTATTGCTTTTTATCAATATATTCAAGTTTTCTTAAAACTTATAACTTCCACTCGCGTGTGCATCGTGGTGTATGGCAAAAAATGATTCATTCAATATTATCATTAGCGAATATATTAATTTATCAAACAATTTTGGTCAAAATACTGTTGTCATTTTTGATAGTTACTCCGATACCAGTAAAAATATCAAAGCGATGGAACAACTAAGACGAACCGCAGCCGTTTCTACATCTTGTTAAGTGCATTTCAAAGAATCGATGGAAGTTCCTATCAGTTTAGCGAAATTTTTACCTAATCGATTTCATAAAAGAAAATTTATTGAAATGCTCTTTGAGAATTTCGAAAAAGTTGGTATTTCTACAAGACAATCACGTGATGATGCTGACGTCTTATTAGTTGAAACAGTAATTGTAAAATCAATAAATAATACTACAATTATCGTCGGCGAAGACATAGATCTATTGGTACTTCTCATAGCACGCACACAAATACTTGATCAACTTACATCCATTTTTTTTTAAAACACTTTTTGGAATAGGTAAAATTAAAGTCATGAAGATGTTTGAAAAAAGACCTGATTTACACAATTCTGCAGGAATATTCCAACAAGAAAATTGCGCTCGAGATGCCCTCGTCAATGCTGGAATACATTTTCTACTAGCAATCTACGGTGCTCCAAAATCAGAAAATTCAATTGACAATTACAGATACTGCAGCTTTGCTAAACTAACAAGACAAAGCACAGCTATGAAATTTCAATTATTACCACCAACTTCTTCAGCAGCTCAACAGCTTATTTATCGAGTCTATTATCAAATACAAACCTGGCTAGGAAAAGAAATTGATCCAGAACAGTGGAGTTGGGAGTTGGAAAATAATATATTACAACCAATAACAACTTTATTGCCACCAGCACCACAATGTGGATGTAAAAAAATTGGATTGAGATGTTCTAAAGCTTGTGGACATTGTCGTGGTCAGTCATGCTTAAACGCGGAGTCCACTAGTGAAGAAAATGATGAAGATGTTTCCCTATTTTTCAATGTACAAATAAAAAGATATTGAGCATAAAATAAAAAAAAAAACTTTTATTACAGTTCATGAATTATGCCTACGGGGGAAACCATGTAAAAAAACGCGCCTTGCATTCTACCTCAAAGGTGGTGCGGAAACGAGTGCATCATCATAATGTAGTCGCTTTCTCAGC